GTGGGCGTGATGAGCACTGTGGGATACGAGGCTGAGGGGACAATAAGGAAGATGAATTAGCCACTGGCAGAGGTCTTCCTCCCCTACCAACCTGGCTGCTTGTGGCTCTATACCCACAGTCATCAATCTTTGTCAGCTAACATCCAGGAAGTCATTATGCAAGCTGGGATGCCACGGGGGCCATCGGGGAATCAAGTCTGCCTCCATTTTGGTCGCCTCTGTTTTTAACCATCCCCAATTCTGTTAATGCACTTTGTGGTAGCGGGGACTTAGAAGTTAATTTCTTCTCTGTGATTATTTAGGGGAGGAGAGGTCCTTTTTAAAGGCAGCTAGAAAGCCCCCGTAGGGCTGGGTTTAATGCGGGCACTGGGTAGCAGGTGGAACGAGCCGCTGCCAGTTTCCCTTGCAGTGTGGGGAAATTGCCTGTACTGCTGTGAAGCGCTGGACAGCAGCCATGTTTAGGCTGGAGGCATGCTGTTTTAAGCTTTTAATACTGCACTGCTCTTGACTAGATAGAAGAGTGCCCCGAAGCTGTTGAGCTCTTTCTGCTTTTTGGACAGTTAGCGAGTGGATCAAAGAGTGAATACATATTGTGTCGCAATTTTTTCATTTAGTTATTACTTGGGTTAAGGATGCTGAGGTCCCTTTTGTCTTCGTTGTTTTGTCTTTGAAAGCAAATTTTAAGTGGGCACATTCACAGTCACTGCCACCTGTATATGGTCACGAAGTTTGACTGAATCGTCTAACGAGGCCTCCTCTAATATTGTAGTTTCTAATTGTGTGCGTTTGTTCAGGGTAAATTCTACCTGCTGATTGAGGAGCTGAGCCAACTGTTTCGGGCCCTGGTACCCATCCAGCTGTGGTACAAGTACATCATGGGAGAGGACCCCTCTAACAGTTACTTCCTGGGAGCCACACTTATCATCATCTACAGCCTTTGCAAGGTAATCAGTGCCCTGTAGCAAGATATTTAAAGATCCCCTCCTTAATGTGTGTATGTATTACTAATGTACTATAATTTCCACATTTAAAATCCCTAAAAAGGCATCTACTCCTTCTACTTCATTAAAAAATCCAGAGTCTATGAATGTGTAAATTTGGTTAGTTTCTTAAGTTTTCCTGTCTGAAGACAAGATGTCTCCTACTTCACTGTAAAGTCCATTCTCAGTGTATGTGCACTGGTGGCTTCAACTTTCTACATCACACTTGTATAAGTTGCATACTGGACCAGGATTGACTACTTGTGATGTTACAAATAATGCTCGTCGGCCCCCGCCATTTTAAAAACAGATTTTCAATTAAAAGCATGTGCATCTGAAAACATGTACATTTTTGTACAGTGAAGCTCCAACATCCAACTGTAGGAACAAGAAGGAAAACATTTTTGACTGAAGGGGGGACTTTAAGATCAATATAGTTCTTAATGTTAAGATTTTGAATGACACTATTAACCAAAAAGACATACTATTAGTCCAAATATAGAATACACAACATTTTGATTCCTACATCAGAAACATTGTGAGCATTCATTATTAAGACGGTCGAAACCAGATGTACCAAATACTTCTACAATGTCCATTGCACCCCACAGTGTGAAAGTGTTTGATTGGAGGCTTCTGATGTGTGTTGTGATTGTGGTGCTAGACAAAAGGTCATAAGGTCATTCAGGTCAAAACAATATGTAATCCAAATCCAGCTATCAGTTTCCCAGATAAGTTTAACCATTGTCTCTGCCACTCTGGGTAAAGCTGGTGGAGATGCATGAGGAAAATAAATTATAAGCACCACATTATATTCTTCGCAGGTCATTGTTCTTCTTGGGCCTGGATTTTAAGCACTGTAGGTTGGGGAGTGTCAAATGGGCCACAATAGTTTTAGAATAAGAATGGATGTCAAAATGAAAAATCACCTCAGCTCTGGGACCTGTGGAAGGGGGACAGTGAAGTTCCAGATCACAGCAAGGTCAGTTATGGGAAAAAAAAGAGATAATTAGGGCCATGAGTCAGTTTAAAGTCCGTCATATCAAAGTTGGAAGCTGAAATAGTGAAACTAAGTGGAACTTGGATGAATGAAATGATGAAATAATCACACAATCTCACTGTCATGTGTTGTGTAGCGTGTGTAGACAGTTATAGTCCAGATTTCTTTTAATACACCAGTGATTCACCGGATGTCGTTGTTGATGAAGGGTTTGTTCAGCTGAAATTGGGTGGACAGTTTCCTGGGTGTGTGTGCTGAGGTGCAGCACTCTGGTGTTTTCCAGGATCAGGCCATATTAACAGTGTGACAGTATTAGAGTGTGCCTATGTACATGATGAGCAACAGTTGTTGATTCATTCTTGTTATGCAGTTGTGTCACGCGGGGGGTGGGGGGGGCAGTTGAATAAAGTTCAGAGAAACTTGAGAGCGAAAGCTTGGCAGGTTGAATCTTCAGACCAGGAAGCTGTAGGTGGAGGAAATTGTAATTTTGCGGTTCCAGCTTTAATGTATTAGCATATAAATACCCAGAAATGAACAATGTGTAAACTAGTAAAAACTTTGAAATAAAAAAAACCTTGGGTGTTCCCCTGACTCTGGTACCGTTGTTCATCATGTTCCCTTTAGGATGAATTTACTTGTAACCTTTTCACCTAGCCCCATCATCAAGTCTATATCATACCCATCAGTCTCAGCTGCACTTTGTGTTTGTGTGAAAAAGTTAGCAAGGTTAGCATGAGATGATGAACATTGCAAACGTTTCAGTATCTGTCAAACATCAGCATGTTAGTATTTTACTCAAAAGCACCACTGTGCCTAGATATAGTCTCACAAAGCAGCTAGCGCGGCTGTAGACAGTTAGTTTTGTTAACATAGTAAAGAGTAAAAGAAAACTAGCTCAGATTAGCTAAAATAGCTAATGCTGCTGCTGGACAGTTATAATTAATGTTCTCATAGAAAACTGATTGAAAACTTTGTCCTTATTGTTTTGCAGTCCTTTGACATCTGTGGACGTGTGTCTGCCATACGTAAGGCGTTGGTCATGCTCTGCAGCTCCCAGGTCAGATTCAGATTCATTTAACTTTTTTCACAACACACTCACAGATTTGTGTTTTTGAGTTCTGAATACATGTAGAAGAGTAGAGTGTAATCCTTTTACATTTAAACTCTTCTGTGGTTTTTTTTTGTCTCATCCAGATTTACGGAGTGAGGGCAGGCAGTCAGCAGTGCAGCGAGGTGGGTGATGTCTGTGCCATTTGTCAGGCTGATTTCAGAGACCCCATAGCCCTTCTCTGTCAGGTAAGGACTCAGTAAGCTGGTTAGAAGATGGCTAAAAAAATATAAATTGATTCAAATTTGAAGAGAAACTAGCCTGAAAAGCAGTGTTTTACTGCCCTCTCTGGTGGAAAGTTTGAAGTCTGCTGAAACTTAAGCTGACCCGTGTGGTCAGAAGTGTGTGATGCTGCAAAAATAACCACACATAACAGTTATATCACGGTGTACTGACGCACCCTGAAGTGCATTCAATTTCACTGCAGCTAGGTGAGAAGGTAATCCACTGGAAGTTAGTACAAATTTGTATTTTCAACTGGTATTAAGTTGCTCTTTAAGTATAAATGTGAAAGAAAATAACAGTTTAAACAACTGCTTGCTTGTCTGCATACTACTACTGTTATTATTTGGTAATATAAGTGGTGGGTCAAAGGCCAGTATCAGCCTCTGAACCTGCACTGATAGACACAGATCTTTACTTGCGGGTCATGTTCAATCAGTCAGGGCTGGCAAGAAAATGTCAACTCTGAGAGCCAAATGTATAGCTGTGCATTTTCTAATTTTCATCTACATTATGTTCCTCTGTAGCACGTTTTCTGCGAGGAGTGCCTGTGTTTGTGGTTCGACCGGGAGAGAACGTGTCCACTGTGCCGCTCTACTGTCATTGAGACCCTGCGATGCTGGAAGGACGGCACCACCTCGGCTCACTTCCAAATCTACTGAGCTCTGACAACATATCATATGCACAAGGAAAGATGTGATTGTGCTGTAAAGTGAGTTAGACAATGGTGTGTATTGTTTTTTTTTTTTCAGTTTATCTTAGCGTGGTGACTCTTTAAATCAGGGTAGGCGTGAAGTATCAAGTAACACACAATAGTTAGGGGACTTTCATTGTAGAGGCAGAACACATTATTTCCAGTGCAGACAAGTTGAACATGTGAAACCAAATTATCAACATGATATCACTGACAAGACACATTAAGCTGGACTATTGTCAGTTTTACAGTTGCATTGTTGTCATACAGTTATGGCATAAATCACATGTTTCTAGACTTCGACATTGTGGACATTTTATTTTACACTAAACACATGATAAAGGAATGTTACTTTGATTGTGTGGTGATAATGTAAATATTCACACTATCTGTGGTACATTTGGTACATTTTTCTGTATTCTTCATGATGTTATCATGTCTGTACTGTATATTGTCTATATTAATCTTTTTTAATTCTTCAATTGGTACTTAACATACTTTTTTGTTGGTATTTAGTTTTAAGCTTTGCAATATTTATTTCAAAATGGGATATTGTCCCATAAAATGTCACAGAACGATTAGAAGTAGAAAATCAGGACAAACATTTGTGCTGTCTGTAGGTTAAAAAAAGTTCTTGGTTAGTAAATGATAAGGTTATTTAGATATTAAGTAATGAAAGTAAGGTGAAGTGTGGCTTTTAATTACCCAGACTGTAAACAGTACACAGTGTAATCCGTAACATTTTGTAGATTTGTGTGTGGTGCATTTTCACTGACAGTTGGAGCTCATACCTGATAATCACCCATGTTGCAAACTTCCTTTCATTGTTATTTACTATGAACATTGTTAATATCAATAATTTTTTTTAGAATAATTCATTCCTGGTTTGCATAATAGATGTATGACTCTAGTGCAGAGGTTTTCAGTTTGAAATTAAAGCACTTTAGCTCACTTTATCAAGCCTATTTGTCTAATTACAATGACACCTGCAGGTAATTCATTTCAAAAGATTTTATTATTTTAACTACTAAAAATCCATATGAAATATTTAATTAGTATAAATAGCACACACTTTATAAAAGACCGTTTCAATAATTCTGCTCACATTACACTTGATATATCAGAGAAAAGCTTATTTCCAGAAATCACAGACAGCATTAACAGCATAGCTTCCTATGCACAGGTCCTGTATCTTATTTATGATAAAAAGCCACATAACACTGCCCCTGACAGATAATGTTAAAGCACAGGAGAATGTGTAAACATTGTCTAAACACTGTAGAAAACATCTATAAAAACATTCATCCAAGCATTGTTGACATATGTACACTAGTATAGCTTATGTAAAAAAGTACAGTGCATTATGAAGCTCATACACAGGTCTATGTCAGTGCATTTCACAGGATTGCTGCAATCTTTGTTGCCTTAGATACATTTTGAAGGTCTAATCAGTTTAACCCCTTTTGTCATTGATGCACATCGTGGGAGGTGAAAATTCAAAAGGCGTCCTATTAGTAAGCTTTTCCCTCCACTCTACCAGGGGAGGATTACATCACCGTTTTGTAACTGGGATGACTGAATCTCAGAGTCACGCAGGGAGGGGTGAGGGTGGGGGGCAGGACGTGCAACTGACTGGCTGCAGGGCTGGTGCTGGGGTTCAGTGCGTCAGCTCCTTATGAAACTCGCAGTGCGTCCACATCGGGCCTGAGTTGAGTCTTCATGACATATGGAGTTTAAGGTCCCCCACCCTGAAACACGCATTTAACCCCCGCTTCCTCTTCCTCCGTCGGTCACACCTTCTCCTGGACCGCATCCTCCGACTCTCCTGCATCCCTTGCTCTTAGTGCAAATGATGTGAGCCCGAGGTCCCAGAGGCAGCATCTATATATAAGATATGACATATGCACTTAGTTTACATAAAGCAGCCATAAAACGGTGCAAACAAACACACCAGTTGCTTATTCCTCTTATATTTTCCATAGATTCCACATTTCACACTTTTTCATCCCTTCAGCCAGGAAGTTTCCAACAGAAACCTGACCAACATGAACCGGTCAAAAGTAGATACAAATTAAATAGATAGATTAAATTAAACATAAAAGTCGGGTGAAAACCTCAACCTTGCCAATTGAATTCACTACTCATCATGAAACATTCTTTAAATGCGAATTAGAGCCATCCATAACTTCATTTGCCTGCGCTTTATGTGCATAATCTGAAACACTTATTCTGTTAAAGTTTGTGTGTTTTTGAGAGAGAAGAAAGAAGTACACACAATGCTGAGTAATTACTGAATGCAATTTAAAGCACTTATGCATTTGCATTGTATGCCAAGACAGGTGATTATGGAGCAGGCTATGTGTGGTCCTTAAGTTAAAGTAAGCGCCATTTATGACGTTTGTCTAGTGTTTGTCCTCTAAACATGTCCAAACTGTCCAAAAACGGTTTTTTTTCAGTCAATCCAATAATCTGAAATACCAGCAAAACTTTGAAAAGTTTTCTCAATCTACAGACTGAAGAGACAAGTTCTGTCTAAAGTAGGCCTAACTGTGCAGCCCACAAATTAGCCCGCCATTTATTTTACCACTTTTATATAAAATTAACCTCAAAATTATTTCGAACATTTTTTTTTTTTTTTTTTTTTCGTATAACACGGTTGCCACACACATAAACAGACTGTCGCTCAGACCTATACCACTATTTTCTCCTTATAACAGCTGGAAGTCATAAATTACTCATTCATTTTAAAATAAAGTGAGGTGACGTTGTTTACTCACCTGTTGCTGGTGTTGCCGCCTCGCGCCCTACAGGTGTCGCCTCGCGACGACCAGCGCGAGCACGGTGAAGTGTATTGCGGTGCACAGGAAGCTCTTCAGGTGGCCTCGCCCGGCGGTCACCACCATCGCCCCACCGCCCCCACAGCCGAAGCCTCCGTCCGTCTCCCCGGCCGTCCAGCTCTTCTCCAGCTGGTCCCCGACCCTCCGCAGGCGCGACGCGAGCAGCTGAGCCACGGAGCACGGCGAGGGTCGGCGGCCGCTGCAGGTGGAGTCACCGGGCAGGAGCAAAGGCTGATCTATCGGCAGCCAGCACATCTTTTCTCTGCAGCTAGTCTTCTCTCTTTAAGTGTTCAATATATAAAGACCCTCCTTCTCTCCTCTCATCAAACCTTAACTGTGTTTGCGTCCCCCCCTTTTCTTTTTCTGTCTCTCTCTCTCTCTCTCTCTCTCTCTCTCTCTCTCTCTACTGTATTATTCATTGCAGTGTCACATGGTGTGGGGGTTTACATCATCTTTTCCCAAAAGAGAGATGCAATGGTTAACTCTTGAATTTCTCCTGTCTGCTTTGATCTGAGGAGTCTTTTGTTACAGCGTGTGCTCCGACATTGTGTTCTCTTTTCTTCTATTTTTTTTTAACTGTATAAGATGCATTTTGTGTTATATTTAGATATGCATATCCTACTATCATTGGATATGAAATATATGCATTCATATTCTGAACAATTGCTAGCTGTGGCCACAAAAACATATATCATCCCTGAGAATGGCCGCTTCTATAATAAAACTGAGGAATTAAAAAACTGGCGGAACTAGTGTACAGTGGCGCCATGTCCCTCTTCGGACTGTTTATAGAGAAGGACATATGCTTAGTTTGCGTCGGTGCTGAGCTATGGCTTCCCTTAACTGGTCTGGATAACATACACATTCCTACTGCACCGTTTTATAACACCATAATGTTACATTTTGTCAACGATGATTGAGAAATATGGCCGAGGACGAACTTGTTGCGTTCAGGAAGCGTTGGAAACAAGAGTTAACGACTAAAAAAAAGGAGCACCCACTTGTTTGTGCTCCTTCCCCCTCCTGTGATGTTCCAGGTCAGTCCGGCCAGAGAGACTGTAAAAACAGGTATTTTGAAGATTCGAAAGAAAATCTCAACAAGGACTGTAGTGCTTCAAAACCAGTAGTGGATAGTGGTTGTACTGAGGATGAAGGGCGCGTTGGAAGAGGAGGAAAAGCTGCAGCAGAGTCAGAGGATCAGCCAGATTATGTGTCCATTGCACATAGTTTGCTGGACGGGAGGACCAGTCCCCTGCTGGACAGGATTCAGGAGGAGAGGACCAGGAGAAAGAGACAGTATCATAACATAACTCATGCCTGCAGCACATCCCTGCAGCTGCAGCAGCAACCTCAGAGGAAGGTCAAGAAAGACGAGGAGCTGCTGGATCAACTCATTCAAGATCTGGTATGAGGACGATGATGGAAATGATGATGATGAAGGTGTGGATGGTGGTCCGTGTATAATGTGATGTAATTATTTTCTTCTGCAGAATGAAGTCAATGACATTCCCTTCTTCGATGTTGAGTTGCCGTACGAGTTGGCTTTGAAGATATTCCAGTATCTCAACTGTACTGAGCTGGGCAGATGTGCGCAGGTATGCTTTATAAAGTGAAAAGAAAAATAATGAACCTCACACCAAATGGACAGCCGTAAACTCATTTTATTTTGTGTATAATGACAGAAAACCCCAACAAACTGCAGATTGAAAGAGTCCCTGCTAGCACATTTTAAAAACAGCTGCTTTAGACTAGGTCCTGTAGAGGTAGCAAGATAAACATGAGGGCTTTTGGTTGGAAAAACTGAGAGAAACAGAACAAACAAACAAACAAAGAAAACACATTTATGCTATACTAAATAAGGTTCATTTTTTGCAGTCTCTCAAATTTAAATACTAGACAAACAGTTCAGTCCTCAACAATTATTCATATAAAATCTCAGAAGGACAAATCATACTTTAATTAAACAGTTTGTAACACATAGACTGATGCAACACTTGAGGAAAGGTCTCAGGGGTCACAAACAAAAAAGGTCAGTAATCACTTCAGCAATTTCAGACTGCTCAAGTTAGTTCAATTCAGGTATGGTGTTAGTGTGGTTAGTCTCAGGGTAACAATCTGGGAAGGGAGTACGCCTGCAGTTTGGTGACACTTACAAGAAATCCTCTTTTGCAGATGAAACAACAAATTAAAGTTCCTAAAAAGCAGTAAACTTGCACTCACACTGATTTTTGTCTCTCTTGTCCCCCTCCTGGTGAAGTCCTTAAATTACAGTCACCTTGCACTTCCCCCAACCTTCAGAATTGCTTAGGGCAGCTTTAATACCCTATGTGACTTAAATCGGTAAAGATTAGTAAATTACATTTTGTGTGGCCAACCTACAGCATGTGGTGAGTCCATCTGGCGGCCGGGCTCGTTAAGCATGAATAAATCAACTGATGCAAGCTTGTAATGTATGCTGACTCAATCCACTGTCATGCTGTCCAATCTCCTCCCAGGTGAGCAGGGCATGGAGAGTCCTCGCAGAGGACGGCGTTCTGTGGTTCAGGATGTGCACGAGGGAGGGTTATCACCGGGATGCCGGCGTGTCTGACTCTCCCTGCTGGAAGAGCACGCTGCGTGACTGCAGGAGTTCGGCCAAAACAGTGTGCTCCAACTGGAAGGTATTGAACTGTTCCACTGTGGGGAATCAGAATAACTTTATTAGATTACACCCAAATTCAACAGCTATGCTGGAGTTTGACTGGTGTAGTTAGTGCAGACATCAGTGTGGACCATACAGTAGACCATGAACTAAATGTCTTATTTCCAATGTTGGGCAGTAACTCATTACTTTTTTTAAACTTTTTTTTTTGGGGGGGGGGGGCTTTTATTGCCTTTATGATAGAGACAGCTGCACATAGACAGGAAAGGGGGCAGAGAGAGAGGGGATGACAAGCAGCAAAGGGCTGCAGATCGGACCTGAACCCTGGGCCGCTGCAGCAAGGACTCAGACTTGGTACATGGGTTGCCAGCTCCACCCACTGAGCTAACCGGGCACCCAGTAACTCATTACTTGTAAAAATTATTACAGTAATAATATTACTTTCCCCTGTAACAAGAAGTGTAATTACAAATAAATCTCAGTAATAATATTAGTTCCCCCCCAAAAAATTACAAGTTACAATATTACTTTTGTTGTCAACTCCTACTGATTTGAAATCCAACAATCCAATCACAACCTTGCATTCATTTTTGTAATCGTGGAGGAAACTAACTCGGAAGACGGAAACGCTTCCGTTCAAAATATTCCCATTACTTTGATTTTAGCAAACAGAACTGGTTTTTAATCGTCAGGAGTCAGAATTTTGGGGAGAAGGGACAACGGTTTTTTGGGTTGTAGCAGAATAGTAATATATCTAGTAGTGCAACTAATAACAGTTGGAAGGGAGTAATAAGTAGAGTAATATTATTACTCTTGAAATGAGTAATGAGTAATAAATAAAATGTTTTGAGTAACTAGCCCAACACTATCTCCACTTTTAACTGTAATTTATATTTTGAATATAATATAATACGATACAAAAATGTGATTTTAACACAATGATTGGTTGTAAATTGGAAGAAAATAAAATAGATTCTTACAGCCAACCTCTTCTACAGTCAGGTGATATATAGTTAAATGTGCACTCTGTTTTACCGGTTGGAAGATATTTATATGATGGATGGAATAGTGTGATTTCAGCCAGGTCATATTTTCTGTCTAGAACCGAGTTGGATCCATCAGCCAGCTGCAGTTCGAGCTGGGGAAGGTGCTGTGTGATGTCAGCTCCTGTGACAGCTTTGTTTTGGCTGGGTGAGTTTCAAGGACTCCAAACAGGCAGGTCGCTTCTGACAACTGATGTGTGTTAACATCAGCTGTTACTTCCGCTACCCGTACGTTCCCTCTGCCTCTCTTTCCATCTTGTCATGTAAATGTCAGTATAAAATAACTCTTGGTTATTAATCTTCTGATTTATGACTGGGTGTTTAATTAAGAATATGTCACGTTTAGACACGGGATGTTATGTAGCACTAACTGATACAATGCAATAGTGGTTGACAACCAACACTCATTGTAATCAGTCTTTTACTGTTGGCTACAGCGCAGTTAGGAATTAAGAGTGTTGTATTGTAATGTTTGGGGGTGTATTGATACAATGAGATCACAGCTTGTTATGATGTATTCATTGTACTGTACACGCACAATATATTAAACAAAGAAACTAATGGACTTTTACATTTATCCCTCCTGAGGCATAAAATATGCAAAACCTCAACATGTGTCCTATTTAAAATTACTTTCTTAAAGAGTTTAGTACAAATAGTCTCATGTCATTTCTTAAAGGAAAAAAAAAATTTACAAAAAAAGTAAAGAGAAAAAGGCTTGGTAAGGAAAGAGCAACATTTGTGAATGTGGTTCGAGTTACACTACTTGGTTACAAACATATTCAACGGATATCGGATTTCTAAACAAGGACTTGGACAGTTTTTAATACTATAACCAAGTCAACTTGTCAAATTAATACCTCGTGGGAGTCGTTATTGTCATACTAATGGCAGTACTAATGGCAATAGTTGGTGAGGGAGGAGTATATGAATTTGCAGCTGAACTAAATCAAACCTGCCCTGAAACTACTGGGCTGAGACAGTGATAGATTGTGAGGGGCCCACAAGGGCCTGATAGAGTGCCCACAAGGAGATGTGCAGTGTCTCCAGGGACTGGTGTGATTAGATTCCCTCCAGTCCTGGTGAGTCTCAATGGAGAGGACGGTGTGTTTGCATCTTGTCAGGTGAAGCAGATGTAGGACACACAGTACCAAAACAGTCTAGACGTGAAATAATGCACTTTGCAAACATTTTAAAATACTCTTAAATAATCCTTTTTATACCGTTGCTATTAACAAATTCACAACATCAATACGTTTCCCATTATTGGTACTTAAAGAGTTATTTAGCTTAGTGAAAGTAGTTTAATTTAACTAGAGAAGAATCAATGGCAGTTAAGAGAAATCAAGAATGATTCAATTGCATCCACAAAATCTTATTAGAAAACCAGTGGAATGAGATTTGGCACTTAAAAGGCAACAGGAGACATTGCCTCATTAACCCGACAACTCTCGGAGTCACACAGGGACATAGACCACGTTCACACCGCAAGTCTTAATGCTCAATTCGGATTTTTTGATCAGATCCGATTTTTTGTTTGGCTGTTCACATTACCTTTTAAAATGTGGCTTATATCAGATTCCAGTGTGAACTGTTTGTGGTTTCGAACTGACCCGCATGCGCAAAAGAACAATAACAATGACATCAGACGCAGTGAAAGTAAGCATTTTCGCTTTTATTTCAAAATGTTTGTGTAATGGCAGCCGTAACATTAATGAGCAGGTGTTGAGGAGGAGAAGAATGAAAAGAAAGAGAGCCAAATTGGCTATTTTGGCCTTTTGCAGGGTTATGGCTGCAAATTACTTATTATTATTAACTTATTATTAACTCGCCGGCGCATAATTGTGACAAATGTCGATGTAGATTGACGTAAAAGTTGCATCAAATCCGCCTTGGTTGTTACCACTGTGGCCGCATTGAAAAAACTCAGACCTGGGTCTGATTCAGGACCACATATGGAAGTGGTCTCAATCTGATTTAAAAAAAATCAGATCTGGGCAAGATTTGAGTGTTCACACTACTTCTGAAGAAGTCTGACCTGGTCACTTGACAAATCAGATTTAGGCCACTTTTGCTTGCAGTCTGAACGTGGTCATAAAGGCCAAATCTGTTGAGGCTTCCTCGCATGAAGATTTCAGTAATCCGTGCACAAAGTTTTCCCGCACATAAAAGTTTTTGACGAGTGACTTGGATGAGATTCAGCTTCATCATCTTGTTGATAGCTGGCATTGAGGTGATGTACCAATTAAGTGAAAGTGTGTATTCCTATTGTTTTACTTCCTGCCAATACCCTGCGATGCCAGTCACACACACACACACACACATACGGGCGCACACATGTACACCCTCTGTCACACTTGCTGTCACTGTGTCACACACTTTGGCTGTGAGTTGGATACTTGCTCAGACATGATGGTATCTGTGGAGGTGGTAGCGCTGGCAGTTTATCGTCTCCCCACAGTGAGAGCTCACTGACTTGTACGAAGAGGGAACAGAACAAGAGCCTGTTGAGTGTGAGCGGGTGACTTTGTTGTCACTTGAGGACGGGAGACAGAGGCAGCGCTTTGCCACAAAAGGGGAGAAGCACAGGTTGAGGCGAGGTGGTACAAGATGGTCACATATCGGTCTGTTAAAATTGGACTTTAAGTTGGCTACGTGTAGTCTTTTAAGATCCATAAATCATTAACACATGAAGTTATGAGACGTTTTTCTCATTTCAACTCACGCAAACATCTGTTGACCTCTACACTGCATTCTATGAGCCACTGGTTGTGTGTTGGTGGTTTGCCTTCAGGCACAGAAAGAGCCCTCTCTGTGGCACAGTTATGTAGACAGTACTGCTCATACAAATGGAAACAGAGCACAAGCTTTGAGTTTCTTGAAGACCTGTGAAAGACCAATGGAACAATCACTGTCGCTTTATTTTGAAGAGAGAGGGAAATAAATCTTTGTCTGGGTAGGGCTGCAACTAATGATTATTTTAAACATCTGCTGATTGCTTTCTTCCATTCATTGATTCATTGTTCTATCTATAAAATGAAAAAATAAAAGTGACAGCCCAAAATTACCTTTGCTCAACTAACAGTGTAAAACACAAACAATTATATTTATATATATATATATATATACATATATATATAAATATAATGTGTGTGTGTGTGTGTATATATATATATATATGTATATATATATGTGTATGGATAAAGCAATAAATCCTCACTGGAGAAGTTGGAACAAGAAAATTTTGGCTGAATTACTCAACCAATTAATGGATCATCATTAATCATCATGAATTGTTGATCAACCGCTCAATTAATTAGTGGTTTCAGCTCTAAACAAGTACTAACCAGATTCTGGTTAGTCTGAGAACCACTGGCACATATTATCGCAATAAACTGAATCGTAACCATTTTCTTGTGATACGTAGCGTATCGCCAGGTTCTTGCCATTAGAAAGCCCTATAACAGGGTCACACATTTAAAGCTGCATAGGAGTTCTCAAAACCCAGAGGCTTCTAGCCAGTGTACTGGTAGGATAACCTTCACTTCCTACAAGTGTCCTGTGGTAAGGGGTGAAATTCTGAGCATTTTTCCGCCCAAACAACACCCCTGTAATCCTCGATAGATCGTGATGTAACATAAATTTTAGAAAACAAAATAACAACAAGTCAGAGTGAGGAAAGTGTGAGAGGGGAAATGATTCAGCGGTGAGAGGGTGACGTCAGGTATTCTTGAGGAGACAAACTTCTCAGCCTGTGGTGGAAAATGGGCAATAATTCTGCACCAGCCGTTTTATTACAAATCGGAATATTTAAACTATGTGTGTTTAGTGGGATTGATGTGCTTGTTTTGTATCTCAGGTACACATCTGGTGATGTGAGACTGTGGGATACACTGCACTGGGACTCAACTGCCTCTTACCTGAAGCCTAACAGCCTGTCAACTAACTCTGACCCCAGACCTTATGTTAGTCACGTCCAGGTCAACAGCACAGTGGCTGCTGCTGCTTATGAAGACGGTGAGTGTGTGAATGTGATCCTGTGGTGAACTATGAGCACTTGTTGGTGATAGTAAGACATCATGTACTAAGCTGTGATTTAGTACACATTAGTGTTCTGTGTATCCTTGCTCACGCTATCTTGGGTAAAGGCTGCGTGGACCTGTGGAGCACAGAGACCGGTGGAGAGCCCATCCACCACTACCAGAGCCCAGTGAGGGTCCAGGCCCTGGCCCTGAGCCCCGACAGTCCTGTCTTGGTCTCCGCAGCCGGACCTGATATTCGGTTGGACCGTGCCGACGATTGTGGGTACTGGAGGACTCTGTGCCAGGCTCAGCTACCCAAAACTGTGAGTTAAGCAGTTTTACATTCTCCGTACAGATGTGTTATTGTGTTAATTAATAGTTTGTGCTTCAGGCATTTTCCTCTTGTGACTTTCATCTAAAAATTTTTTATTTTTAATGTGAAATAATTATGGAAGTATTTACAGCCTTGTCATTTTGTGGCATTTCAGCTTCTGACAATAAATTGTACTAATGCTGAAATTATTAGTTGATTATTCATTTAGTTTTGGTAGCCGATTAGTTGTTTAAGTGAAAATGCGCATCTCGTATATGAGGATTTTTTGCTTTTCTCTGATTTGTATCGTTATTAATTGAATATCTTAGAGTTTTGGACTAATGCTGTGCGAATATTTTAGATTTCCATTTTAAAACATTTTATAAATTGTCTAATCAATTAAAGCACTTTTTTTTTGCTGGTTCTCGCAGCCTCGGTGGACAAAAGCGGTAGTGTTTCTACTGCCTAGATAATTTTTAGTTGCAACCGTAATTGTACAATATATGACTTCTTGAGAGACTGAAAATATGTTTCTGGAAGTTCTTAAAGGAATTAAAGTGACCCTCCTCTCTATATAAGTGTTGGGCATGATTCATTTGAAATTCAGGCGACACCACAAATGCATAAATAATGGTGTAACTGAGTGAGCACTGTACAAATTACTCCTGTATGACAAAGGTGAAGTGTTCCTCTATCTTGTCTGTATTTCAGGTAGAGAGTCTGGTTTTGGTGCCTGGCAGGGGGCAGCAGTGCCCGCTGGCGGCCGCGGCAGCAGGAGAGACTGTGTACCTATTGGACGACCGGGAGGAGGAGCCACGGACGCTCCACTCAGTCTATGGTCATCCTGTTACCTGCTTGGATGCCTCTGACTCCCATGTTGCACTTGGAGTGAAGAGCACGGGCTGGTCCATGCACGATGGAGGAAACAAGGTGGGTTCAGTGTCTCTGCACGGTTTCCGTTTAAAATTAACATAGGACTGCACAACTGAGACGATGTTTTAGTATATTTTCGCCCATCAGTACATGTTTTGTTGTCGTGTGCATTTGTGTTTCAAAGTATTTCAAACCACAGCAACAGTCTTAAAAAACTAGCACTACTTCTATTACTAATATATATTTATTATCTTATTATTATTATTTTTTTAAGTATATTTTTTGGGGCTTTTATTGCCGTTATTATAGGGACAGCTGAAGATAGACAGGAAAGGGGGGCAGAGAGAGGGGGGATGACACGCAGCAAAGGGCCGCAGGTCGGATTCGAACCCTGGGCCGCTGCAGCAAGGACTCAGCCTCGGTACATGGGTCGCCAGCTCTACCCACTGAGCGAACCGGGCACCCTATTTATTATCTTATAACCCAAGGACATTTTACATACAGAGGAAATAAAAAAAACACGAGTGAAAAACGCTGTTGCTTCATTGGCACTTAAAAGTTGATCAACTAAATTTAGTGTTTTGCAAATCCAACAGAACAAATAATGTAAACAGAAAACTGCTATATTTGTATCTGCCACCTTGTTTTGAGCAGCAAAATTGCCATTTTGAGCCGTCATTATGTTTTGGCTTCACAAAATCATCAATATGAGAAGCATGTCTAGATCTTAGATGATAAGGCTGGACTGGGTTTAGGAAACTAGTTCAAAGCAAAGTGAACTAATTAATTGGAACAAAAATCTCAAAGAAATACGGAAGATTTAAAATCCCATGACGCAGCTGTGTTATAATGATACCAGTGTAATACGTGTTAATGTTAAACACTTATCTGTTGAGTTATTCAGTAACATAATTAGAAAAAGCTTATATTCGTCTAGAAACAAAGACACTGGCAGTGTGATTTGAATGCTAATTGAACTATATTTGCCACCACCAATTCACACATTGTGATGTTGATTGTCTAACCCACTGTGAACAGCACTCTAGTATGTACTGTGTAAGGGCTAACAATCTAGTGTTTGTATGTTAATGGAACTGATGGAGCTGTGTCAAGGCCTAATTTTAACAAAACCTTGAATGTTGACAAAGTAGAAGGCAAAGCCTCAGAACTTTGTAGATGGATTTTAGATGCCTTTATAAAAAATTAAAAATAAACCTACCCAGACTTTACTAATTGAAATGAAAGGTTTCCAATAGAAGGAACAAGGTCACTTGTGCTCTCAACAGGTGCATAATGAAAAAAGGGAAATTGTACAAGCTAACTAATTTGGTTTGCTCAGATGGAATGACGCACGACTTCTTAGAAACACAATTCATGGAGAGGAGCGCAGTGAGGTGAGGCTCTGGCATTAGGCCATTAACGGTTTAATCACTGGCTTATAGTAAAAACAGCCATCTTCTCTGCCCTCACTTTAAATTACACAAATTAGTTAAACTCTTGTGGAGAAAAAAGATGCCCGCTGCCTTTTAAAATGTGGAACACCATTTCATTTAGTCATATTAAGTCTGTTCCACACTTCTAGCAGATTTGAAGTTCAGATTATTTGCAAGCAAAGACTGTTCTCTAAATACATCTCATCTGTGTACACTGGGTCTCTTGACAGTGTGCTCACTATTACTTTGTGTCCCCTTAGAAATGAATATGATGTACCTGTTGGGGATTTGTTTATAGTAGAAATAGCTATCTTAAATAGCAACAAGCCCTCCTCAGACCATGTTCCTAATTACTACAGCCTTTAAGGGTACTTTGATAGACTGTTGTTCCCCAAGCTGCATCTGTTTGCTTCTAATAATATTGTGTTTCTAAGGACCCAATGCCACCTAATTGACTGTTAAGCATTTACATAGAAAGTACAAAGTGCCACGAGACAAACTATTCTGTTGGGATCAGGTGGCAGCTATGCAACAGTCATTATGCTGAAGTTCACTTAATCAAGATATTTTTTTTTGTCAATGTTGATGGATGAAACAAATGATAAAGAAAGCTGCTGCATCCAAAGATTCTTTTTTCAATAACAAATTAGACATTAGTTGCTGTTGAGACTGGACAAGTGGTAACAGCAAGAACTGAGCCTGAGCCCTGTGTGTGTGTGTGTGTGTGTGTGTGTGTGTGTGTGTGTGTGTGTGTGTGTGTGTGTGTGTGTGTGTGTGTGTGTGTGTGTGTGTGCGAGTGTGTGTGAGAGTGTGTGTGAGAGTGTGTGAGTGAGAGAGAGAAGCAATCTGTTTGTGATTGACATGTTTTTGGCAAAGCCTCTCCACTGACATCACCCCCTATTAAAATAAGCACAGCGGACATGGTGAAGCACTGATTCAGTGGAAGCACTAAAGCACCACATAGTGGACCGAGGAGAGAGCAGCAGTGAGGGATGGAACAGCCTTACCTTATCATTAAACAAGGCTACAGTAGGGCAATGCAGAAGCAAGATCCATCTGCTGTTGAATATGTTTTGTTGTCAACTTAATCAACCATGTAATGAGGAAGTAGTTAGTATGGAACAGGTTCTGAGATTCAGGTAAACAGTGGGAAGAAGATGTTTGAAGATGTGGGAAACAGGGATGGGGGTTTCACTATTTACTGTCATTTTATCGACAATATGATTATCAATTATTGGAAAAAAGAATTGAGATTGAGAGTGAAAATACTCATTAGTTACCACCCTAAAGAAAGTTATGATCCCATTATTGTATGTTTTTTTTATTTTTTATTTCCCAATTTCATACTTTTTTCCTATGTGTTGATTTTTTATTATTAGCTGTGCAAATAAATTTTTTTCTTGACTTGAGTTTGAACACGCAGCTCATATCACTCTTATTCCATCTGAAATTGTAATTTCTGCCTTTAGCGGTAACATTTACAGAGTTAAGGATAAAAAGCAGCAGTTCCTTTCCTAGTAAGCTTTGCAGTTTAGATTCAATTCTCTTTATTTGAACTTACAGACGCACAGAAAGTCTTTCAAACTTTCTTGTTTCCATAGTGGGCTTAGCCAAAACTTCTACCTAAATGCCAATTCATGATTAGCACACCTCTTACTAATTAAAGTATTTCACAAATTTAATTAACCTGTCTGTCACTCTTGTCACGTTTCTAACAGCGATTTCATACTGTGAAGAAGACAAAGCATGAATTGGCTGCAACAGTTAGTGATGGCAGACATTTTTCATGCGACCTTTAGGAAGGAAACATATGCTTCATTAAAATCTGTCAAAATGCATGGAGTTGGCATCCAAGAAAGTCATCTCACACCTTTTTGCCTCACAGATGATGAACATTTTAATTTACAGCATTTTGACTTAGATGAACTCAACCACATTGTCATGTTTTTGTTAACTAGATTCAGACTCAGCGGTAATCGCTGAGTTTGCTGCAGTTTCCTTTCAAAATCTGACAGCTTGAAGCACAAAAGCTGCTTTGTGTCGATGATATAGAAGATTCTTTCTCGTATTTTGGCATGCGTTATCATTTAGCTTGTGGCTTTGTCTTCTAGCTTTCCCCGTCTTTGTTTGTGTTGTCAGTGGGTGTGTATAAGTGTGTGTGGTCGGAGCCAGTCTCCAGATCCTCATTACTACTGGCCACCCTCTTGCCAGTGGACTGGGGGGCACCCAGGCATCCACCCAGCTTGTGGTTGGGCATTCAACACAAGCTGGCATCTCCCCTGGCAAACTATCCATCCACTGCAGTAAATCTACCACAGTGCACAGAGCTAGTACTGTCAGAAAACCTGTCATCCTCTCATTGCCTCAAGTTGAGATGGCTGGTTGGATGCATGGAAGACTGAATTAATGGTTTTATGTATAGTATGTATGCACATGGGATTTATTAGAAGTATAGAAGTCTTGTCACTGATCAGGATTAAGACATCAGGATCATTTACTCAATAAAACCCTAAATAGGTTGCCTCCCAGGTAAAGAGTTGTTATTAAACTACTCATCCAACTCCAAGTGTAAGTGAATGTTATGTGAGTATAGAATAAAATGACAAGGTCAGCAGAGCAGTAGTGGGGAGTAATGATGATAACACCTCAGCATTTGAACATAAAGTCAAAGCTAACAGGTGGATGCTGGGATGGAGGTGACGTTGATAAAGCTATAAGAATGCTACACAAATGGCAGCAGCAGGTTATTGCTGCATTTACAGCAGAATTTCAGCATGCATTAGCATAACGGATATCGGCGTATCTGCTTCAATACAATGTGCTATTTATAAGGGGGAGTTGAGTATACTTAGAATGAACATGGAGGATGGGTGGAAATATTGGGATCAAAACATTAGTCCATGGTGGGGGGGACTTTTTCTGGGTATTACTCGGTATTATTAGCAGCGTTATCCACCTAACTTCTTTTTTGACTCTCGTAGTGAGCAAAGTCTGTAACGGCGTGTTTGAAATGTCTGCCTGAACTAAGCTTTGTTTTATTTCAGTCAGACAATTCACATATCTCACATCATTATTTGAATATGAAACATGTACAGACCTTGTCACTCCCCACAGACATACACAAAGATCTGCCCTGCAGAGAGTGGGGAGGGTGACAATAAAACCGTACCTGCGAAAACCTCATTGGATGCGATGCTTAGCACCAGCCATTATGTATAAACTAGTACTTGTGGTTGCTGCCTTGTGGCCATTACCCTGGAACGGGCTCGAGACCATGAGGGAATATACTATTAAGCGAGCACCTTCAATGTGAGGGTAGGGAATTATCCACTATGGGACTATTCCCCTGCTAAGCACCTGAGATCATCAGGGTAATATACTGCTGAACTGAGGTAAATAAATACTAGAGTTGAGTGAGTACCCGGCTGAAACCGGTACAGATAATATACTTACGAGCATCGTCAGAGTAAAATATGTCAATGTGTTAGTTCTGCAAACATTAATTCCAGATACGAATACAGATAATTTAGTTGAACAGATTCAGATAACGTTGTACTTGTTCATCCCTAATAAATACCACTGCACCCAACTACCTTCACTGAAACTGGGGAACTACATAGCACACACACTCTCAGACTTATTATAGCACCTTAAACACATGGATGGTGCTGTTTAGAAAGTTAAAATACCAATATGTGCTTACAGAACAGTTATCTCTATAGCTTCTTACTTTATTTGTTCATCTTGTTTAATTAGATTGGGAAGCAGCCAACAGCTTCTTACCACAAACCACTGCTGAGCCAAGAAGCACAACTAAACTACTTTTTGTAATTTGTGTTTTAGCTTTTTTGTTCCTTTTGCGTCTAGCTTCTTGTTTGTCCGGGAGAAATCAAATTCAACTGCACACAGAGTTCTCTACAACTGTGGAAATACACGAAAAAAATGCCATGATTGTATTTTTGAGAATAACAAGTACAGGTATCAAAAAGTGGCATCGGAGCTCGAGAAGTTTTCTATGAATAAGCATCTATTATGCTTTATTATGCTATGAAGTTTCAGAGTCCCAAATGACATCAAACCACAAGCCTGCCATTATCATGCATCTGGTCCTATGTGCTAATCTCTGTTTGTCCACATGCTGTTTAAACCAAACGTAGCTCCGAATCTATATTTGTTTCAGACGTCTGTGTTTGCGTATGATTGGGGCAATCACGGGCCACGGAAAGCCAACGGTCTATGGATTTCATTCAAACCTTTCACCTCAGCTGGTGATTTCACTTGTTAGTTTCTCTCTCTGCTTGATGGAGCGTTAATCAGTGAAATCAGCTTGTGGAGTCTTTGGTTGGAGTGAAAAACCTGCAGTCAGTTTGCCCTCCATGGCACATGGTTTTCCATTGCTGGTCTATGATATTCCACTTAAGATTAATCACAATCTGATCTTTGGCCAAATGTGTTCAAGAATATACACAACGGCAACATAAAAGGTTTTTCTCAAAAGGACAGCTGTAATTGCCAACGTTTTCATCTCTTTAAAAGCAAAGAGTAATTGCATTAACATCCCAGTACAAGCCACCATTAGAGTGTCCTTTTGTCTGCAAGCCTCATTGGGGCTCCAGCAAGTGCATTAACTTAACAACTCCTCTATAGTCATCCTCATGGTAATGCTTCCTCAAGACATACTGCTACAGTCTCTAAACAGCCCCCAATATTATCACAAAGCCGCTTCTTTGCCTCCCTCCCTCGTTTCTCTATTTTATTGGGTGGATACTTATGATAATAAAATATCTTCCCCTAAACTGCCATGATTCATAGAGAACAGCAGGCTGAACCTCGCCCCCCCCCGCCTCTTTCTCAACTCATCCCCCTCTCTTCCGCTGTCCAAATCCTATCAAGCTGTCATTTCAAAGTCCGGTGTGATTTGGGCTTTGCCCCGGGGTGGTGCACAATTAAAGCTCTGCTTGGCCCAAATAAGGGACACACAAAAACTGCTGGCATCTCCTTAAGGCTTACATCATGCCTCCCTTCCTTCAAACTTCTTTATCTTTGTCGCTGTCTCTCCATCTCTCTCTCTCTCTCTCTCTCTCTCTCTCCCTCCCCCCTCCCTCAGTTTAATTTCTTTATCGTTTTAATTATTCAAAGTCAATTTTGCCTGGCGGTTATCCTGTTTGTTCTGTCTCATTTGGATGAGAAAACACCAGCCGCTAATTGACCAATTAGGCCAGCTCCAGATGACATCATTGTAACTTGTATGAAGAAAGTTTGCTGCAGCCGTTGAGCCGGAGGCAATGCTGCGCTGTAACCGAAGTATACCTCTAGGCTGATTTTTATTTTCTTCCCCCCCAGATTTAAGACTTAAGGGCTGCTTTGTTTTTAATTAACTGGCAAAGCATCACTTCAGTTAGCTGTGTGTGTCTTTTGTGCGATATATTATTCCCAATTATCGTCAGTTATATCTCAGTGTGTGGTGTTAAACTGTGCGAGTGAGTGGTGTATGAATCGTAGCCCTTTTTTATACAGTCACCCAATTTCATGGGCAGAATGTAATTCACTTAATTAACGTCCTCATTTTTATTATTTTGTAATGACTGTCTACAACACAGACAGTTTTTGGATACACAGTCCGACACGGCTCAGCAAATATTGATGTAAACACCCTCTAAAAGGTTAACTTGTTAACTTTGTTTTTTCAACCTTGACCCTTTGTTGGGAGTGACTAATGGGGACAACAAGTTTTGAATTTTGGTCCAGTTCTCCAGTGAGAGTGCTGCAGCCTGCAGCCGTGAAACGACCTACAACTAATTACTTGTTGGGAATTTTCACACTGTCCATTATAAGTTGTTTGTTTTTGCAGCTAATATTGTTATTATGTCTCAGATTGTTGTCTGGCAACATTATGGAAATGATCCTAAAAAAAAAGAATTTTTTTTTTTTTTTCTTGAGACGGTCTGTGAAATATCCTTGATGGGCATAAGGTCACATCACCCACAGGAACCCCCCCGTCCCCCGTCTCCCGAGTTTTGCGGCCTTGCAGCTGCGGATTCACCCTCCTCTGCTTGTTGCCCCTCTCTCTCGGTCTCCTCGTCCACTCTTCAATTTGTAGGAGCTCTTCATCCGTATACCGTACTATGTGGGTGGCCACCAAATTCAAATTCATCCACATTGTCAAAATCAGCTAAAGATTCAGCTACGATACTGAAAATCTTTTACAGAACACTGAGCTACTGATTATAGCTGATTGTAAGGATTATAAAGAAGTCCTTATAATCATTGGAAATCAGTGCTGATCAGTCGCACAAACAAGCACTTTTAATGAATATACTTAAATGGTGTAAGGATTGCATTGTAGCTTGTTTTGCAGCTACAGGCTCCAGCTCAATCGACCAAAATTAAAACTTGCTGTCCCCATTATTCACTTTGAGTTAAGTCTTCAAACTCATGCTCCGAGCTTATACATTTGGTGATTTTGTGATGCGTTCGGAGGTTGACTGAACTTAATCTTTCAAATGACTGATGTTTATGTATGTCCTTGCTTTTCAGATCCACGTCTACAACCTAGAGACGGGCAAGCCTGTGGTTTGTGTCGGCAGCTCGCCGGGAGATTTCACTTGCATCAACTTGAGAGACACCCCAGCTCACCTGCTGGTGTGTGGAAACAAAGACAGGAGGTAGGACACTTACACAAAAAACACACACTGTCACTCAGATGGAGATGGAGATCATGCATGAGGACAAAATCTCTCACTACTGACACTCTGGGATTTATTCAGACGTCACAAACGGTTGAAATGGAGCCAAGAACTTAAGCTGAAAGGCGCGCCTGTTGAATAGTTTCCCCATGGTGACACCTGATGAAAGAGGCTGAAGGAGGAAGCTAGAGCTCCAGTGCTTGTAGTGAAGAACAGGTGTTAGGAAAGCGTGTGTGAGAAGACAAAACTCTATTCAATTTCTACATTATTGACACTTCTCTGTTGCCTTGAAACCCAAAAGCTTGATTTAAAAAAAAAAAAAAAAAGAATGACAGAGTCACTGCAATGATCAGATGTGAGACATTTTGTTCTTTGAGTTGAATACAGATGTCGGCCTGTCTCCTCTTTTACCTGGGATGCTATACAAGAAAAAAACAATCTGAAAAAATCCATCTGTCTTGGTCCCATCCAGGAACAATAAACACATCCATGCATGGACACACACTTGCCACATCGCTAACCTGGCTCTCCAGATGAGGAAAAGAAGCATAAAAGAGCCATTCTCATCTATTCTGCACTTGTTAGCGGGTGTTTCGGTGCACGAGCTGGCAGGAAAACAAAAATCCCTGGCGTGTCTTCGTCCAAAGCTGCCCCCGCTGTTTCTATTCAGCACCGAATCCATCTGGCTGTTAAGTATTTGGCTTAAAGCGAAAGACAGACCATATCATATTGTTTAGGTTCTGGGTCCCCCCCCCCTTCTTACCAGTTATGACTCTCAGCAACCGTACAACAGAATGCTCTGTTAAAGATGTTTTTCAAGTGCCAAACGAAAATGTTCAGCATTGTTTTGATTGAAGAATTGAAATGGTTGTTTTCTTGCCAGAGCATTGGTCTTAATCCAAGTCCTTTCTGTTTTACTTCTGGTTTTTGCTTTCTGATAGATGTGTAGTGTTGCTCAGAGAGATTCACACACCAGCTTGGCTCTTCCACTTTGGCCCCAGCTGATGCAGTGCACAGTTGAAGACAAATGGAAATGGTGGAGAATGAGGGACAGTCGGCAGTCTTGGCCCTACGACAGGGTGGCTGAAGGCCAAAGCCTAATGCATCCCTTCTTTTTGTCCAAATGATTTTTGTCCCTGTGTTTTTTTCTTTTTTTGGTTTTTGAGATCCAGGGAGCAAATGAGGGCTCCTGATAAGGGCTGTTTGGAAGATGGCCACACCTGTGCAGATTGGGAAAGATTTGGGCTAAGAGCAAAACTGGATACAGTAAGAAAGAGGGAAGACATAGTGCGTGTTATACCTATGGCTATTGGTCACTTAATATGCAGGTCTACTTCCTGAGACCACTTTGCCAAGGTCTTGGACTTGACTTGTCCTGCCATTGTCCTTTAGTCACACTAGCTGCAGGGCTATGTTGGTCTGTTGGTCAGGGTCCACCATCTTCATTTGAATACAATGAAAGAGAGTGCACAGGGATTCATGTTTCCCTCGGGATGATTTCTACTCACCTTAGTGATCCCCTTACTTTGCATCTAGAGTTGTCATTTGGTAAAATTTCTTTCTTTGATCAATTCTTCAGTTTATGACAAATACCTGAAAAACACATGACATTCAGGATCAGCCACATTTGGTGATAATTAGCAAATATTGCTAACATACTAACACGCTCTAGTGCAGTTAAACGCGTTATTAACGGCGTTAACGCAAACCCATTTTAATGGCGTCCATTTTTTTATCGCGAGATTAACGTTCTTTTTGGCCTAGCACACTCTGTTGTTTTTTTCACATGCTGTTGCAACAACTAGCTACGTTAGAAAAACTACAACACCACACCAGATCTAGCTAGACCGGAAACAAAACAACAGGCACACCGCACACACTTGTTTAAGAGTAGTAGACGTTACATTTTGAGTGGATGGCGAGCGCGAGACGCCGAAATGGATGCCAATAATATTCTGAATGGAAAGTTTACTTTTAAAAAGTTGGTTCCATTGACAAGACCAAAGTGATCTGTGTGTTTTGTCGTTGTGAACTGAGCTATCATCGCAGCACGTCCAGTCTGAAATACAACTTGATGGCCAAACACACAGCTGATGTGAATTCTCCGCCCCCTCGTCAAAGCCAGGCGACAATGGATGACTTTTCAATAAAAACAACATTTGCACAAAGCAAGCCGATCCACTTTTCCATGTTGATAAGAGCATTAAAATGAGAAAAAATAATGGGACAAAAAGAAACAAGGGACATTTAGAATAGATAAAAATGTGCGATTAATTGGGAGTTAACTATGACATTAATGCAATTAATTGCGATTAAATATTTTAATTGTTTGACAGCACTAATTTTTACTCTTTAGTCGGTCTTTGATAAACTCTTGGAAAAACCTAATTCATGTTCAGTTTTTTATTTTTTTTTTTTCACCTGTTGTTGACTTTGGTTTATTCAGGCCTCTTTCTTGACTTGATCTTTTACTGATCTTGGATAAAGAAGAATACAGGTGGTCCTAACTCACAGGTTGAAAACATGTAACAAAGTTTATCATATCCATCCATTCATATGGAATATCAAAGACCACTTGGGATTAGCTAACCATAGGTTTTCATCAAACATAATCCTTAGTGTATAATGATTAATGCGTCCTGTAGCTGTAGGAAACTAACTGGAGTTATCCGAGCCTCTCCCACACTTCTCTTATTAGGCAGAGCTCCTCCTGATTAATGAAGAGGAGTCTGGCCACTGACAGCTCGCTGAAGACTGAGCCGCCTCCAACATTAGATTTATGGTTCCCTGCGGTCTGCCAGTAATGTTCAGTCCTCATTGTTTAAACGTGTGCTTCCATCACGTAATGCCACTAAACAGGCAAAACTAACTGCAGACAACAAGTCCATGGTGCCCATTTACCCATTTAACTCTGATTCTTTTACAAAAAAACTTGGAAGCGGAAATGAAATCTGTCTGAGTCCCTAAAGTGAATTTGATTATGGTAATGAAGTCTTGGAAGGAGGTTGAGCCTGGATGGAGTCATGTCCTGGATGCTTTCAGCTGCAATAAAGCCACAGTGACAACAGATGGAGCTGAAGGTCCCCTGGGCGTTTGTTGCTCATGAAACCCAGCAAGTAAAAATCCTGCTCTTACTGCCAGTTATTTATTATAAATACCAATACAAATATTAGTTAATAATAATAATAATAATAGTAATCATAATATCATAAAAGATAATCATAAATATCTTAGCTAAGTGCTTTGTAGAAAGGGTTGAAAAAGAAATATCCAAATCAGAATATTTATTAAAATAAATACATGGGTAAGAATAGTTCAAGTTCAATACAAAAGCAATTAAAAATAAAGAAAAAAATATATTTAAATAAATAATAATAAATAAATAAATATCTTTTTTTTAAATTGGTTTTGTTGTTAAGAACACAAACAGAACAGTTCAGGTCCATTGATGATTACACAGCAGGTCAGTTACACAGACACATAAATACATACAGTTAGAGAGATGCAGAGAGTCAAGCTAAAAATCTTGTAAAGTGCACATACACACACACACAGAGGGGACACAAATAGACAAAACATGGATTACATAATGAAATAATAATAATAATGATGGTAGTACTAATGATGATAATAGTAAATATAGTAAATTAAAAAGGGAAAAATATTTTTTACTCTTGAGTGTTCAGGTCCAGTGTGTAACATTTAGGAGGATCTATTGGCAGAAATGGAATATAATATTCATAGGTATCTTTTCATTAGTGTATAATCACCTGAGTATAGGAATCGTTATGTTTTTGTTACTCGCCTTCCATGGAGTTTGCCATGTTGAACCGCTATGTTTCTAGAGTAGCCCCGAAGGGACAAAGCCAACACTGGCTCTAAATGGGGGTGTCTGCGTCTTTGCGATTGGAAGGGGAGGGTGAAGCAACAACTACACCACTAGATGCCAGTAAATCCTGCACACTGGGCCTTCAACATACAGTTGTGATAGCGAACAGAGGCCCAAAGTGTGCCAACAAACAATATGAATACTTGTATGCTTTTGACCTCAACACGTTTTAAATGTGATCTGTGAAATCCTCAAGTCAGTTTTTTTTATTTGTCTTGCGCATTTAGAGCAAGAGCCATGTGAAATGTGTGCGCAGCTGGATTTTTAGTAATTCTAATGTTGGCAGTGGTTTGAATTGTTATTTACTGTATGTTAATTGCATGCCACAGCCAAATACTGAAGACTGTGTGTTCTGTCTGTAAAGTACCTTCAGCTCTATGCTGTCGGACATCATGAACACTCTTTATCCTATAAACACATCAGTTAGGATTTTTTTTTAACTTTTTCTAACTACTTTCAATGTCATGCCTTTTAACAACTTGCTTGTGGCCGTATTTGTACCTGCTGCTATTGCGTATTGCACACGCTTTAAACACACTTTATTTTTGTCTTGTTTATTCACTTTTCACTGGTATTTAGGTACTCACCTTTTTTATATGTGTATATATTTATTTATTTTTATTTAGCCTTTTCTTCTGATCTACTGATGCAAAACGTTTGCAACATGATGGATTTTACATTCCCTATCTAATGTAACATCAGCGTCATGTTAACATACATATTTTGTTGTTATTTTGTTTTGTGTTCTGTCTGTATGTCAAACTTAATTTATATCTTCTCTATATTAATTAAGTGTACTGTTTTTACCTGGCCCCATATGCAGTAAAAGGTGGTAAATATATCCTGCTGCCGGATATCAGGAGTTGAAATAATGTGATATTTGGGTTAATCCCAGGTCAAATACGACTGGAACTTGCATTGGCGCATGTGCTTCAGTTTGTATTTGTCTTTGGTCCCTTGACTGGATGTTGAAAAGTTCCTTCAAAAGTGAGAATAGCGTCCTTTTGTCTGTAAATGAATGAACTCTTTGACAAACTGTGCTCCCTCTTGTGCGGCCTTGGAGTCTTCCGCCTCTGTTAGCAGGAAGTGAAATCCAAAATTACCACAATTCACTGGAGGAGACTGATACTATTGTACTCACTTCGTTTACTATTTACTGTGATAGAGAAATCCTTCAAAAAGATGTGCAAATATAAGACTTTCTTTACATTACGATTGTATTTCCAACAGAAACACGATTCATCATGTTTTTCAATTAACCTTCCTAATTCCAACGTGGCAAAACTAAGCAACACATTTCTAAATAAATTAATAGTAGCATTTGTTTCTGCTGTGATTCAGGGTGAGGGTGTTTGACCTACGAGCTGGCTCCTCCGTGGCGTCCCTGTACGCCCACCACCTGGGTGTCACCTCGGTGCAGGCGGACGACTGGAAGATCGTGAGCGGCGGAGGCGAAGGATTGGTGTGCGTTTGGGAGATGAGGATGGGAGCGAAGCTGTGGGAGATGCACAACAGGTGGGATTTTTCTTTCCTCTAAGCCACTAAAGATGTCACATCTAGCTTAACCAATTTGGTACCACATCCAAATTAGGGGAAAATGTGAATGTGTGCAGCTTTTCGCTCATGTGAGGGATGAAATCAGAATTTTGACATTTTAAGATGTAGTGTAATTTATTTAAATTTGCCTTATTTTTTTTTACAAAAAGGCTAATGTGAACAAATAAAAACTATGCAGTAAGTAAAAAGTAAAAATAGATATACTCAGTTCTAAAGGTGTTGTTTTCGGTCTTGGCTGCAGGCATCCTGTCAGGCATGTGCGCTTCAACACCAGCACCCTGGTAACAGCCAACATCCCCGATGACAAGTCACCGCGGGGGGCCTGCATCACAGACGATGACCTTACAGCTCACCGCAGGTCATCGATCTTCCTCCCACACTCTTCTTCTTTTTTTAACCTCGATCTCTTCTCTACTACCACCCCCCAGCTCCCACAAGCTTACAGAATCTCAGAGACACTTACATTAGACTGCTTCTCTGTACCTTAGGTCTTATAAACGCAAAGCTAACCATGTAACATTCTTAAAGGAATAGTTTGATATTTTGATTGATTTTGAGAAATATGCATATTTGCTTTCTTGCCGAGAGAATACCATAGATGCCACTCATGTCTGTACGGTAAATATAAAGCTCCAGCCAGCAGCCGGATAGCTTGACTTTGCAAAAAGGCATTGTTGGTCTAAATAAAGCAATCCAAAGAAACATCTGTGCATTTTGCTCTTCAACCCATATTTCACTGGTTTGAATTTCAGAATGATCCAGCTCTTCTTAACAAGCATCTACTTTTAACAATATCCCAGCAAGTGAAGTACAATAAATATCTCTGTTGCTGACACAAGTGTTTTTATTTATCCTTCAGACACCGGGGAGTCATCTGCCATTACGACTTCTCTGAGAATGCTCTGTCACAGGATCACATCCTGCCCATCTGCAGGTCCAACTTCACTGAGTCCTACGGCTACAACTACAACATCGGCCTCACGGTGCCTTATGACAGGCTGTCTGGTTCCCATTCATCCCACTGACATGCAGTTCTCCAAACTGCAACTGGGCTCAGTGTGTGACCGAACGGATCAGTTAGATTCTCCAAACTGTCCTTTTATTTTATTACTTTCCTTTTATCATCATCGTTAAATCAAGCTTTTCGGAAATGTAACATTTCGTTGTATATTACCTGTAACTGTTGCAAAAGTATTTGTAATTTTCAATGTTGAATACAGCTGCAGAGATGTTGCACAGCATCATCACAGTTTTTAAACCAATACTGTAAAATCTATGAATTTTTAATTGTTCGGCTTCCTGGATTTGATTCAGTGCCGCTGTGCAACATCACAGCAATAAAAAAATTCATATTTCTACCTCATTCATTGCTTCTTTGCACATTTGTTATTGGTTTCTCCGAAAACAATCTCACAGGCATTTTATCATAATGTCTTAATTTTTTATTCATTAATACAATTTGTACAAGTCTGTAATAATTAACCATAGGCAAAGTGTTTCATTTATTTGATAGCTGATTTTCATGGTAGAACAGCAGTGGTTGGTTACACAGAGTCTCAGAGGAATGGATAAATTAGACCTGTAACTATTCTGGAGCTGCAGAGGAATGGTATGTGCTTGCAGTCTCTCACTCTTTGGATGTCAGCCATAACTGATCACCCATGAATGCCAGAGCGGCCACTGAGCATGACTGACTGCCTCTGAATTGTGAACCTTTTGACAAAAAGTACAAAGATACTTCACATTACATGCTGCTTACATAAAGATTTGTAGAATAGCAGGAGAGTGGAGAAGAAGTAGTGTTAGTTTGAAACCTGATAAAAATTAGTAGTCTGTCAAAAGCTGGGAAATAAATCTACTAAATCTATTACAATGCTTTTAACTTTCTGAAACTTAATTATTTGGGCTTAAAAAGTGAACTGTAGAAGAAGGGCTGTATAAAAATATACGTACAGTATGGTATAAGGTCTATAATTATTTCCCTCCATTAAAAAAATAGATTAGTGCATATCAAAGTGTTAATTAGCTTAATTCCATTCAAGGACTAAGGAGGTTCTGCTAAAAACAGCAGCAACATAAACATTCCTTTACAAGAACAACTCCTTCAAGAGGTGGATTTCCCACAACGCATTGTTGTGGTGTCTACATCCAAAAAGCGAATGTGCATCCTAGACTCCATTTCAAGTCCTTTTAGAATCTGCGGGCAGATAACAAAATGCTTTAAGTGACTTAAAAAATTAGATCTTTTGATTATTTTTAAATTTGGAAAAGTGCAAACCTGTTCAAAATGCTCAAACGTAATTCCTTCATAGAAATCATCTGGGGCCTGAAAGGAGAGAGACAAATGAGTGTTTTATTTTGCTGCAGATGTGTCACAGAGAGTTTATTTAAAACTTAAGTTCTGGTTCCATTACCATGTCAGGCACATTTGTGCTCGCCACTTCCAACATGGCAGCATCTGCTATCGCCTTGGCAGTTTCTTGCTCAATGGCTCCACTTTTTGACAGAAGCTCCTCTACTACCTTGGATGAGAATAACATTGTTAGTCTTTAAACCCTAATTGGTGTTTAAACAGCGTCAGCCTTCAAGCTACATGGGACAATTTCAGAGGCTGACTGCTCCAAATAACATCATTGGTGAACTACTGTATGTACAGCATGCACATATTTAGCTACCAGTCTTTGGCATGAAGTCATTAGAGCCAGTTGTTTGTTCAGTGTTCTCCAGTCTAGACAAGTGCTCACTCACTGATGTTTGGAAAATTATTTGGATTTAACTCGATCTCTGTCATCGCTCCTTTAACTCTTCCATCTAAAATTAAACCTGTAATGCTGTTAGTTATGTAACTTCACCCCAGCACTGCTGTCCATTGCAACATTCTATTCTCCTAAAATTAAGGAAGCAAGATGCTTTTTTTAACCAAGATGTCCTAAAGTGCAACGTCATTGGAACTTTGAAGGTTAAAACACCATTGGAGTGAACCACATGAGTGACGATATTTCCATGGCCACACTACAAAGGGCGAGTTAAGTTTGAAGGAAACTGCTCAACAAGAGTCCTTAATGTCACTTCCACAATGCAAGTCCAACTTAACAATTTATACATTTAGATAACAGCAACATAGGGCCTATGAGGTTGTTATTGTATTTTCATGTTAGCTAACTGCTAGTGTAACTACAACATTTAAAGCTACTGCCCCTCCACGATCCACCCTCACTTATTTTGGCTGATTATACCTCTTCTCAGAACCGTATGGGTGTGTTGCACCTGTTAGGTTGTCAACTTGAGCCTAATAATTTTTAAAAAATACATGTAGTTTTGTGACATCATGTAATTGCCAGTACAACTCCATCATACTTCAACCTCAGCAATATATATATATATATATATATAGTCAAAAAGATACTGTATATAGTCAAAAAGATACTGCTCTTTATCTACTTCTACTATTTATTTACACTCCATTACAAATGTGTAATTATTTTTTAGAAACAACGTTATGTCAAAGTATAAAGAGACACATAATTACATATACTTCAGACAAAGGCTGGCATGGTTACATTGTCTTACCTTCCTGTACTCCACCAGAGTGATGGTGCCATCATTGTCTGTGTCATGCATGTTGAACAGGACTGAGAAGAAAGAACGGAATAATTTAGTGGTTGGTCTAATTTCTAAGGAACTTTCGGTCATCAAAATCACAGAAGCCAGGATGTTACTAATAGACCAGAGGAAGTTGTGATTAGAGGAATGTTCATGAAGATGCAGAGAGTAGAATAACTAAGCATGTCCCCTTCAGGGCACATCAAAACAACCACTGCTGAATGTACACAATCACACTCGGCCCTTAAAATGCCACTTTCATTTACTGTGACATTTACAAGACGACGATACTTCATGTTTAACAGTCCTCTGGCACCGACAAGGAAAAATACAAATTTTCTTTCTCAGTTAATGTCCAGGGCTATTTTGACTGTGCTGCCGAAGATATTTTCAGAACAGCCAATAGACTGTCACTTTTAATGTCAAACTGGCTCGTCTTCTTTTTCTTTCTCATTAAAGTTCCTCGGGTAGAAATTTGTCATTGTGGCAGCAAGGGGGAAAAAAATAAACAAACAACAGGTGACAGAGAAACACAATTCAGATAAATGTGTGTGTGAAGCCAAGCAGGCCATGATCAGTCTTTCGATACTGTAGGAGACAGACACGGGTTATAGTCTCGTCTAGTAATGATCTCTTTCATCAAAATCCTTGTGCTTTTGAGCTATAATGGGTTTTTCCCCCCCATGAAAATGTCCCTGTGCTGGCAGGGAGACCACATTGCTTCACAATGTTAAACTTCTATGAAATATTTTCTTAAATTCACAATAATCACAAAAAGTTGAAGTAACCCTAATATTCTCAAACCCTGGAGATCACACTGCTTTTATGTTATTATCTAAACTCACAACTCCATTTATTCTACTAGGAAGCTGTGAGAGTATAAAGCCCAAATTAGTTTACTTTTCATATCCAGAGTAAACACATTTCCTGCAGTAGAGGTATTCAGATCCTTTACTTAACTGAAAGTATCAATACAACAATGTAAACATAACAGAAGCATTAGCAGTAAAATGTCCCCTGTGACTGATTATTATATGTGACATTATTAGATTGTTAATAATGATGCATCAATCTGTTGTTGGCAGCATTTTACTATAGCAGCTGGTTGAGGTGCAGCTAGTTTTAACTACTTTATATACGGTTAGCTGGTTTAGTCCAGTGGTTCCCAACCAAGGGGTCGGGCCCCTGTCAGATCAGTCTGAGGGGTCATGAGATTATTAATGTGGTAGAAAAAAAGAAAATTTACTTTTCTCTGGTCTTTGCTTTTTTGTAAAATATTAGAGAATTTTACATATTTGGGCCTCAAGCAGTTATCTAAATGAAACCACCAGAGAAGTTCATTGGGCAAATGTCTCTTTGGTGGAAGGTCTGACAACTCTATGGAGTCTAAGTTAACGTTGCTTTTCTACAATGCAGTCCTGGTACGCTAACTTGTCTGCACAGCTGAAATCGCAAATTGCTCTTCTGGTACATACTGCTATGAAAATTATGGGAGTTAAAAAATACTTGTCCCTTCAAACAATTTATGAGCAGTCCATTATCAGATAGGCACAGAAAACAGTTTCTGATCCAACAACATTCTTCAGTTCCAGCTTTGGTAGGAGATTCAGGGTTCCCCAGAGCAGGCTGAACCGTTACAAACATTCATTCCTGCCTATGTCCATGAAGATCCTCAACTCAAACAGGTAGTATAGGATGTTGGCCATGAAGGTGGTGCAATGTGTCGCTGTTGTCAGGTGTGTTTAGGTGTGTGTGGTATGGGCATGTGGCTACTGTTAATGGGAAGCTATGTGTTGCTGAGATACTAATGTTTGTTTTTGTTTTGTTTATTTTAGTTTTCTTTTAATTGTGGGGTGTTCTTATCTTCAAATTTCCTATGGGGACATTAAAGTATATTCTAAACAAAACAAAATGGTACTATATATACACTATAAGCTTATAGTATGTACAATTTGAATGAAGAGCAACTAGTAACTATTGCTGACAAATAAATGAATGGAATGGAAATACTGAAGTAAAGTTCAAATTGCTCAGAATTGCGCCTATATAGGGTACAGCAAATTTACTTAGTTACTTTCTATAATATGTCCCAGAGGTTTTAAATCCTTGGTATATTTCTGATTTCTTGGTCTCGTGCATTACTGGCCAGAAGACTGTACCACAAAAAGGTTCAGTGGTCTAAAATATTAACAGTAAATTGCAGGTTATGGTTACAGCCCATTAGAGAATTAGAGAAAGACTGTGGCTACAATTAGAGACCCACCCCTGTTTTCACAAATTAGTCAGCTAACACACGGGTGATAAAATTGGCACTAGTTCCCTCCAATTTTCCTCTGCTGCCACCTGCATTTAGTCCACTCTGCACTTTTTATCTGTAGTTTCTCTCCTTTATGTACAGTATGACACTCTATCATCAATACGGGTTAGGTGCACTAGTCCCAACTTTAAACAGCGTGATTCTAACTTGCTCAAACAGCATGCTTTTATAGGGTAAGAGTCAGCTGAGTAAATACCCAAATTATATCTTACTTCGAACAATAGAAACAATGGTCTCATGCTGTGTCAGTAAATTTGCTTTAATTTGAGTAAACACAAATTCATTCAGGAATGTCCGTATCAGTAGCCAAAGTCTTAGGCTAGATTTCTACATACGTATATATGTAGGAAGTCACAAATAACAGGTAGGTAGGTTGAGGCAGTATCGGCTCGACGAGGGGGCACAAGTGGGCAGGGCCCCCCAGGTTTATTCACTGTGCCCCCTCAATAAGCTCCGACACTGCGTTGAGGAGAAGAAGATGCTGTTCTGGCCATATTCCTAGCCAAGCCATGGATACGCACAATCCTCTGCAGTGTAATAGCGGACATGCAGTGAGAAATCTAATGCTCACACAGGCAGCTATGCATAACCACACTGTTTATGGCATTTCCGTGGTGACTGAAATAGGATACCGACTCACTGATTTGTTATCTACGCTGGGTGGTGCACTTTGTTCCTGGTTATTTTATAATTGAGACATGCAGAGGGAGACACAGGAGAGAAAGGTTCTAGACTAACAGCTGGAGCTCCAAACGTAAGAATCTTAAGTATATCTGATTCCCTTGTAGCTAAGGTTATTATTAGAAAGTGAAGTGCAGTGTCTTACAGCGAAGCTTCTCTTTCCTCAAAGCTTCCTTTTCCTCTTCAGTCGTCTTTAAGGTTGGAGGGCGGAAGTGGGACATGACCATGAGGAACTGCTCGAAGCCAATCTCGTTGAAGGAGCCCACTTCATCCTGATGCTGGTTTCTGGGTCACAGACATCAGAAATCAAAGTTTAGGCATTATTTGTGTAGTGTTTTCTTAAGCTTCCAAATTGTAAATAAACTTATATAATAATACATTTTCCTGGTGAAAATCCTGAAAATATTAATTTGTTTATTGGTTTCTATGGGTGCAATCAGTCTAATTTTCTAGTCCAAAGCCAAACCAAAAGAAAAACCTCACGGCTGTATTTTTGCATACGGTTTCCGTTGTGCAAATGACTTGCGTGCTTGTGAACAAAAGTCACATGGATTCATGGATAGCTTGTTTATTGGACAGTCCATTTTGTGATTTCTCTTGTTAAGCTGAGCTTTCCAACATATGAGGAACTGCTGGTTTTAAAATGTCAACAGCTGTGTTATAGCTGTGTTGTCTCTTTTAGTTAATGGATGGATTACGTGTTTTGTTTTCATTGCTCTGCGCTGCAGTTTCTTGCAACAGAAACAGAAACCCCACATTATCAGCCATCCCAGTGCTGCAATATACTGTAGGTATTTTCAATCATCCATGTTTGAATGGAATTGTTTTAATTTGACTAAACAAGCAGAGGTAAAGCAAATTAAACCACGCTATCAGAGCAATTTCGCCAATCGACCTAACATGCATGTGTTTGCACTGTGGGAGAAAAACCCATGCAGGCACAGACAGAACCTGCGCACATGAAGAAATGTATTGCTTAGACAGAATGACTTTTTAATAATTATGACTTTAAAAAATGACATTTACTTTTGACAGATTGTATACATTTGGTTTTTTTTGTGTTTTGGATATATTCAAAATAATATCATGTTAATAAAAATAAGAGTGTGGTGTAATTTGACCTTACTCACCTTTTATCAAAGAATGCCTCAATGATTTGATTTCTGATTGGATTGTTGGCAAGGGCAGGTATGTTGTCCAAGTTTTGTCTACTGCAGTGTGACAAGAGAAAGATTCATTATTACAAAACAGATACTAGAGGACCAGCATGCATCAATAACACAATGAATATGTGTTATTTATAGGAAGTAACATGAACAGTAAATCTATCTGAAGGTAAATAGTCAGAAAAAACGCCTGCTATGTACAACACTTGTTCCCCATTTCTTTTTAAATAGAAGCAACTTGTGATCTATCACTACCAGCATGCCACTTTGGCAGTTTTGTGTGTTTGTGTGTGTGTATGTGTGTTTATACTTGAATGAGTGTGTGCGCACAGCATGTGTCATCTCTGTGTGCCTGATGCATCGACATATTGTATTTGCCTAATGTGTCTGCGTCTGCATTAGTTCAGCCCGCGTGTGTCACCATATGTTGCTTGTTTGTGTCTGTGCCAGATATACTAGAAACACCCACAATTCCTCACTGCACAGCCACCAAGCAGGTAGTGTTTCATCTTTAGAGGCGACTGCAAAGGCCAAATGGTTCCAATGAAAACCACATTCAGCTGACCAGCAGAGGTTTGCCACATGTGCAGGTACTAACATTTTACCTTAATGTATCTTCATTTCCACTCAGCTGCTGGAATCTTTTGTGAAGGTTTGTAATCTGCTCCAGTGAAACTGAAAACAACATGAAAGTATGTTGATGATACACCCATAATTACTCCACACCCATCACCAGTCCTCTTGCACTCCTTCAATAGTTTTTTTAGGATGTCCAAGGTGCAATTAAACAATAATACACATAAATACCTAAAAACATACAATCATTAATTTTCCTCATCACTCGATATGTAATATATTGGATTATGATTAGACACAGACTTATTTCTATTAAACGGATCAGGTGCTGCTCTATCAGTTTAATGGCAAAGTAAACAAACACCCTTTGCACTGGTGGGGATTGTCTTTTTATGCCATTTCAAAGTGTTCCTTGAATCATTAACTCACTGTGTGGACCAGTGACCACACACTAAAGGTTTAAACGTCATAATCTGGCTCTGCCTGCTCCTCTATCAAGACGGGTTTGGCATTTTCTATTGTTTCAGTAAACACTGTTTATTTTTACCTTTTTTTCCCTTCACCGGAGGCTGCTAAGTGGATGTTTGCAGTAGCAACTGTAGCTGCTGAGTGTGGGGTGCAAGAATATGCAGACAGACTAAGACCTCATGCAGAAACAAGCTTATTGCTCAGAGTGGGCAGTGTGACTTTGGCAGTACATGTGCAGGATCAACACATGCAACACACAATTAACTACAATTACCAATTAGCCAAATACAACAACAGCAGCAGTCTGTGGTCTGTCCTCCACCATCAGAGATAGGCCTATTGTTGCAATGAGACATTTCATCAGTGTGTCCAGAACACATAAATCAATAAAAAATCCCCCACTGAGCCCACAGAGAAAAAGGTTCAAAGCCCCACCTTAAGGAAACGAAAGCAATAAAAAAGTTCAAAGTCTCACCCGTATAGTATCAATAAAGTTGGGCTCAGTCTTGGATGGAAACCATATCCTTGTTATTCAGACTCTGCATGCCACTGCATGCACAGATTTCACATCAGGATCCTGCCCTATCTAAAAATAGATCTACACACTTCTGCTGTTTATGTCTGCTGTTTGTTTCATTTCATTTTTGTTTCATCTTTTCCATCCACATATGGAGGAGTGTGATTAGACAAATGAATGCATATAGTATAAAAAATATAATAATAATAAATAGTTAACTCACAGGATGGATTGTTTGTGTAGTTTATTAAAAATGTAGTCGTGTTATAGTTCGTTAATACAACTACAGCATGTTGCGCTAAATCACAAATGGTTACATTTAAAGCTAAAGCACTGCATGTATTTGTCCAACTGGTGGTGCTTTACATAATTTGAGTTTACCTCGTTCACTAATCTCATCAGCTGACCATCAAAATGTTAATCAACACTCGTTAGAACTTGGTACGATGATCAGGTTCCTATTTGTTCCGTCTGCATCATTTTCATTGTCCTTTACGTACCCAATCTGTCACCGCGCCACCACACTTTTGCACCTTGAACCGCACACTGAATCGGCAGTTATATAGATTCAAATATATTAAAAAAGGTTCTTCTAGTAAAAAAAAAAAAAAATAAAAATAAAAACTTACATCCAGTTTTATCCGCCAGGTCCTGATACTTGTGCTCGGAGCGCGTCTGCGAAGCTCCCATCGCTGCTGTTCCGCCGGTGCGTCAGGGCGCACAATCTGCTCCGACGGGCTCAACTTTTGCGGCTTTATTGCGCTGCTATCGGCAGGTCAGCGCAACTGTAGTCTGCAGGCGGCCTGGAAACATCTGGCTTCCCCAAGGTCCTAAATCCACACAGCTTGTGGCTGTTGACCTGTTGTCTTCCGGTTTCTCGTCTGTTTTCTGCAGTAAATCCTGGTTAGTGTTGCGCAATACAATAATAAAGGAACTGCTATGACATTCAATTCAGTACAATAAGACAGAGAGAAGCTAGAAAAAAAACTTGAAACGCTTTATTGTTATTATTATTTCTTTGCAATTTCAGCTTCAAGTGAGCGGTGCCATTATTGGTTCTTCTGTTTTTTCTATGAATAGCTCAACACTGATGAGCTGTAACATCCTACATGTTTCACTTGTAAATATACAGGAAAAAAACAAAAACAACATAACCTAGAAATGTGAAAGTTGAACTTCCAGAAGTGCATGAAACTTGATCAAAAGATGGGGAATTAAAAGTCAATTTACAAAGTCTTTTCTTTATGGTCTTCGGTGTGGCACTGTGACTGGGGGTTAGGACTATATGCTGGGGGGCTTGTTTGACTGGTGCTGGGTGCAGGGAGGTGTGGTCAGGGGTCGGGGAGCTCTGGGTAAAGGGGCATTCCTTGGTTGTTAGTAGAGGAGGATTTACAGCAACTGGACACACATCCTGAACTTACTCATCCACTTAAGTATTTACTTCAAGTCTGTTTTCTTTTTTTCTTCAAGACGTCTTCTTATGCCTTATTGTGGGTTTCCACACTTGTTCCAAAATCAACTTTGCGAGTGGATCTGAAGATCCTGCATCCTGGATAATGACCGTCAACTGGGGCATATCACTCCATAGTCTGAGCTTTGTTTTCCCAACCAATACACTGTGGTATTTAAATATATGTACTGAAAGAGTAACTAGGTTTGCTGCATGTTTTCATACTTTTCTTTTACCACACTTTGAGACATGCAAATGTTAAAATAATTATTTCCAGACCTGCAAGGAATCCTGACTATGGTACAAAACCACATTTGTAAACCGTTTCTTGTTACACTTACTGAAAATACTGTATTCTGGCTAATTTGTACAAAAACGTGTCCATTACACTTGTCCTGGTCATGAGTATGTGCAACAAAGCATCAGCTAAGTGGACTGTGAATTAAGACTGGGTGACCAGTAATTGGTTAGCCGGGGTCAGCAGAATGTTGGCCACTGCTACCATGCTACATGGACATGGCTTGGTGGTTGTTTTGGTCTGTGGCAGGAGCCTGGTCCTGGTTCCCAGAGCGGGGTGTCAGTCTGTGGTAAAGCTCCTGCACCGTGCCCAAAGTTTCATCCATGTCCTCTGGGTATCGCGTCTGCAGTTCTTCGTTGGCAGCGTAGTGGGTGTCGGCAAACTCAGAGAAGTAGCGCCCCACTTCCGGGTGGCCGATCTCCAGGGGGGATGAGTGGGGCTCCAGGTTCTCTGAGGAACAACAACGCAAACGTGTGACATTCTGATGAGAGGTAATGTACGTAAGGTGACCTAAATCGGTTAAACTGAGGTGAAGAAAGACAAACAGACAACTCACATATTAAAATATTTAGTTTATCAAGATAATGTCTGTTGTAATTTATTTTCATGTCTCATCAGTTTGTGCAAAGCAGACTGAGCAGCAGATGAGAGCACAGAGATTGATCAACACAAATCCTCCTCACGGTTTGTAGAGAACAGAGCCTAGAGGTGAATACTGAGGTGGTGGAGAGAGCAAAGATAACACATACAATCAATGAACGCATTAGCAGACTGAAGCAACCGAGTAAGCAAGTAAGGAAATATACAAGTCAGCCTATTAGGGAGGAGCTCTCTTAAGTTTGGAAAATGGAAAAAAGAAAAGAAAAAAGGATGATGCTCCGGAGGCGTATTTCATTCACTTGAAAAGACTATTTTTTTAAATCATGCCAGTTTTTTCTGAATTAATGAGATACCTCCTGCACGCTCTCCATGCCCAGGGCTGGCTCCCATTCCCATGAACCTAACCCAAATCCTACATCCAGCCTCCAGCAAGCTCAAGCGGACCCATGCAGGGCCCTGTGTCGCCTATCCTTCAACCCCTGGTACTCCACAGAGGACCAGAGGGATGTAGGTAGGTAGGTAGGTGTGGTTTGTGCCCATGGCAAAGTGCCTGTTCTCGGCTGTCCTCCCGTGTGTGTGGAGACTGGGACTTCACTGGGTGGCACAGCACTCGCCTGTGGGCTCATGAAGCCTAATGTTACATTTCTGTGGTTTATCAGTGGAGTGTATGGATTCGCAGACTAGAGTCTGTTTTAATAGTGACAGACGGACATAGATCTGCGCATATATATATATATATATATATATATATATATATATATATATATGTGTATATATATATATATATATGATATATATAAAAAAAAAAAACACACACACCGCTTGTTTCCACTATGAAACATCTGGATCGTCGCTGCAATGCATTATTATAAATTATAATGAACTGACGTGGGTCACATCTCTCACCTGCATCAAGGCGCACCACCAACTGTGACTTCAAGCATCCCTGCACCCAGTGGTGTGTAGACATGAGAAAAGAGTTCAAGGCTAGGGGACATAGAGCCCTGCAAGGGTCCGCAGGGGGCTGGAGAACCCTGGAAGTCACAGTGGGGGGTGCGCTTGGACGCAGGTGACAAATGTTTCGCTGTTAACAGAGACTCCAGTCTACAAACAGTTCACTTATAACAGAATTGTAGAGTAACATGAGTGATGAGGGCCCACTGGAACTTGCTAGAGGCTGGATTTAGATTAGCTTAAGACGTGCTGGAGGTATCTCATTAATCCAGAAAAACAGAGCTCTTTATTTTTAAATTATGAAAAATGATTATGAGACAATAAATTGTTAATTTGGGTAGGTTTTTTTTTTTTCAAGTGCATGAAATAAGCTTCCATATGATGCAGCACCACTGAACTATTCGCATTGCTTGTAGGCTTTTACCGTTAGTCTTGCTGAATAATGCATTAATAGTCAGTACTTCTGGATCAACATATACCGTATGAGCATCAAATAGCCCTACTAACATGACATCATTAAGCATCATGGAGTAACATTTGTTTCAAAAACAAAATGCTGCAAAAAATAATTAAGATTGTTGTTTAAGGAGGGGACCTGTAAATTAAGCATGAAGTTTCTATCATCCATCACATCCAACAAGGCATCATTGTGCAAGTACATACCACAGGGATTTATTTGTCCTACCTACAGCTTAATTGCCCATGTAACAGTTTGTCTCTGTGCTTGTATGAGACTTTGATCTTTTCTATTGTTTGTGATAATGACTGCTCATGTCCCTTTTTATGTTTTTAGTAGATAATATGTTAGTTAGTTATATGCTCCCAGTTTACCATATCTGCAACTGAAATGAAAGCGATATTAATCATTTGATATGAAATTGAATGGCTGCATTATAAGTGACATTTTGTCCCTAGTAACCAGCAGGTGCAAAAAGCTTGTGTCATTAGAGGTAGGTAGGTGGTAGTTCTCAGCAGTTTTAGCTTGCGACCCTCAGAAATGCAATTTTTGTTATGCCTGGTTGCAGCAGAAAAGATACACAATTGTGAACCTTGTGACTTTGACAAATCTTCGTTTTTTTAGCCTATTTCATCTCTTTTATTAGTAGTTGCTGCCTGGAGGGTGCAATGATATATTCCTTCCCAGGGGCATTAATCAAACTTATACATATTTATGATAATTTATTTTTTTAAATATCATCTCTCAACCTAAAAAACATTAATTCATCATGAGGATATTTTACCCAACCATGTTAATGTATATGATCTGTACCCTGTGCTGCGTAGCGACATGTTCCATCCTGTACGAGGACGTTGTAGAAAGGCTGGTTGGCCCCGTTGGACAGCTGGTGGACCCTCATCGTGGTGATCCACTCCTGACTCATGGTGCACTTTGGGTCCCAACCATAGATCACACAGTTATAACCCGACCTGGTGAAAGAGATAAAACAGGACACATACACTTGAGCATTGAGAGTATTAGTAAGAGATGTGTTAACAGAGAAGAGGACTGCTGTACTAAACGTTGTGACCCCACCTCTTGTGTTTCATGATGAGGCCGACTGAATACTGGACCTCCAGGTGTTCTGGAGCGCTGCGCTTCTTAACCTCTGGCGTGGCAGGATGTTTCTTGTGCTGGATGTGCTCCAGCGTGTGCTGCACCAGGTAACCCACTGCCCCATGCTGGGAGGGATCCAATGCCTGAATGTGCTGTAGGATGTCTAGCACCTGGGACAGAAGACAAACAGCAATGAACAGTGCAGTTGGGTGAAATACTTAGGGATGTATAGTAAGTGCTTTGTACTGAATGACAGTTAATACTTTATGAAGTTGTACGTCCTCACCTTTTCTGGCCAGATGCCCAGGTGGAAGTAGAGCCGGGCCTGCAGCAGCAGGTACTGCACATTATCTGGGTTGATAGTGAGGTAGAGGTCCAGAGAGTCTCTCAGCAGCTGGTAGGATTTCTCATTCCCCTCCCTGAAAGAAACCATGCAGTGCCTCTTAAAGTAATTAAACCAGAACATTACATCCACTTATTCATTTAATTCTAGAAAACATTCAAATGATTTATTACAGTCAGGGGTTTAGTTTCTCTTACCCTCTTTTGCCGATGTTAAGCAGATTTCCCACCATCCTGAGCAGCACCTCGGTGGTGCTGATGGCACTGTAGTAGTCTGCCGTCACCTGGTGGCCGATGAGGTACTCGCACTCCTTGGCTGTCAGCTGCTTGCCTTTACCAAAGGCGTCAATGTAGACAAAGTCATAGATGTCCTCACTCCTGCAGGAACAGAGTTCAATTAATCGAATATGTAAAAATAGACATCCATCACAAATTATGTTTTAATAACCAAATGTAGGTTTTTGTTATTACCCAGCTACGATCATTAAATTAAAAGCATGAATAGTTTGGCTGCTGAAGACTAGAGAAGGGGAAAATATTAGCCTTGTGCCAGTTAGCATGCATCAATGTAAGTACACAGTATTTCCAATATGGTGGGCTGTTGAAATCATAATGCCCCAGGGTCAGCTGATGCATAGTACATCCAATTCAAGTAAAACAAACTTGGACATGGATAGATAAAGTAAAATACAAATATACCGTATACGACCTTTCACCAAAATCTATTAAAAAAACTAGATGTGTGTTTATACTCAAATAATATGTGGAATATGTGGTTGTTTCAAGATAGTTAACTGGTTATTCAAGCTCCTCCAGAAATGAACAATGTGAATGAGAGCTCTACTTTTAGACAATGTTTAGAGGAACTTGAGAGGCTATTCATTTCTAACCGTACCCCCTTGGTTTTTGGCACCAGCGCAGCAGGAAGTGATTGGGGAAGTTGACAGGTTCCAGCTGAACACCAAGCTTCCTGGCTAATGTCATGTAGAGGACAGAGAGGCTTATGGGAATGCCTGTATGGCGTAGTAGCACCTAAATGAAAAACAAGAAGGCCCAGTCAGTTCTTAAATCAAATATGTTACGAAATGATTGAAAAGCTTGTGACTTATTTTATACAAGACCTACCTGGTGGATGTAAGAATTGAGGGGGTTGTAGTAGTCGAACTCGTTGCCTTTGTATTGAAGCTGCTCATACAGGACAGAGTTTAGGGCACACACCACCTGCCTCTGGAGTTCAAAGTCCTCTACGACAAAACAGTCACCTACATCACACACAAGAAATTGAACTTCTTAAGAACTTGGCTGAAAGGGAAAATATGGATCTTGTGAGTTTGCCCAAATATACTGGTATTGATTTATTTTTTTTCAACCTCAGCCTTTAAGCTTTAACTGTCCAGTGCTGATGAATTTTGGACTGAAACTAAAAACTGGGGGCAAGGACAACAACAAGAAAAGCGCAACTCATTTAGAGTTTTGCTAGTTTTGAAAACCCACCCTGAGCGACACGCAAGCTGGGGTGAGAGGGGTTCTTGATCCTCAGCATCTTCTTCACTTTCTCTGTGATCTCGTCCAGCTGGGCTGATATGCTGTTCAGGGTTACATCAGCCAGTGGGTTACAATACTGATCCACCAGTACAGCACCTACAGGGGCAGACAAGACAGAGAGTGGCAAGGCATAATATAAAGCTGCCTGCATCGACTTTAAACAATAAAACACAAATGAAATGTCTACTTGCTGTTGTGCAAGTCGGTTATATTGCTTCTGTGACAACAAATACTATACTAATAAACACTAAGTCACAAAAAGATATTATCTATTTGTATATACATGTCTAAGCTAAACAGTGCAACCTGAGTTGTTTGGACATTAAGTCTGTATGTATGCCTCACCCTCTAAAGAGGACTGCTGCGCTGCAGGCTGCTCCAAGAAAATCTTCAAACTCTTCAGAATATTCTGCTGTCTCAGGAAGTAAAGGATTTTCTTTGCATAGTACTTCAATGTCAAGCTTTTCCTAATGGATGGGCACAGAACAGAAGAGAGAGGCATTGGTCCAATGGTGCGTTCATAATCGCAGAGGATTAACAAGATCAACACAAAAAGCCATTAATGACCGCAAAATGCAACGTGCTGCAAGTATCTGACTGTGGGCACAGTGTGGCTCTCACCTCTTGTCAGAGTTGAGTATGAAGAGGAGCTCGTCTTCACAGAAGTGCTCTGGCATCCCAAGTGACTCAATCTCTGCAAAGCTATCTCCCAGCACCTGGCCAACGCAAGGCTGAGTTACAGATCTCTGGGTTAGTTTGGAACATAGAAAAGCGCACAGTTTCTTGGACAAACATGCACCCACACACACACACACACACACACACACAAAAAAAAGGCCAGCCAATTCACAGAGAAGAGATTTATAGTCACTCAAATGATGCATCTGCGAAGGAAACATTTAACTACGTATTTAACCAAGGTATACACAACGATAATGTTTCCTTGATTACAAATGAATTACTTACAACTTCTGTGAAGAATCTCTTTGAGATGGATTCCACGGTCCTTCGTATTTGTATACCAACCCTATGGCGTGTTTTGTATTCTCTGAGCCAGTCACAGCACTCATTCTGACGGTAGAACCTCTGCAGTCTTGGCCATCTGTTGACAAAGGCATACAATTTGTTAGTTCAGTAACACCATTGGCTATGTTCAGAATGAGTTTAGCAGCCTATTGCCTGAAGCAGCATGTGACATGTCTATGAAACAATTTATCATTCTGCTGCAGACTTGGGTTTTCTCTTTGCACAAAGAAAAGCAATCGGGAGTAGCAGCCAAGTCAGTCAGAAGGAGGGCTTAGCTTTTTGGCAGGAGCAGTACTTTCCTGTAGTTCACAGGCTACATGCAACATTCAAGGTCACACTAATTAATTTTTGGCTGTTCTGGGTAAAATTGAGCACAAGTTGCAATTTGCGAGAGGTTTAAACACTCAGCTTTACTAGCTTCAAAGTTGCCTGCAGAGGAAAAGCTTGCCACTGGCCTGGCGTGATGGTAAATTTGGTGCATCAGCAGAATGTCAACGGCTGACAGCTGCCTGTGAGTTCGCATTAAACGAACCCACCTTTAAGTGGACAATGAGAGATTCAGGGCTCTTATGCAAGACGAATACAAAAAGGACAGGGAGACTCGTTTCGGCAGATGGTGGTGAAAACCCACCAGAAGCTAAAACTCCAAAGATATAACGCAACAAAAAAATCATTGCACCTGAGTTTGTACTGATGTCCCCAGACCTTCCCCCTTCCATGGCAAACGTCGTGTAGCCGCTTGCAGCAGCAGGAAACGTTACAAATGTCGACATGTTTGAGGACGGGGAAGCACAGGATGTGTTCGAGCAACTCAGTCGGCAGGTCCGTCAGTTTTTTAGTTTGGGGGTCGCAAATAATCCCATTTAGACTTGGTTGCCCCTCTCCGGCTACAGACGTCGCCATCTTTACTGTTTACCCCGATTACCTCATTGCTGAGACACCGCCCCTTTATGGCGCAGGGGGCAGAGCTATGGGCGGGGCAGATGAGGTGTACTCCATTGTGATTGGTTGTTGGGTCAAGAGCAAAAGGGAAGCTATGCTACCTTCATGCTCCTCGGATACTTAAGATTGTATCTATTTTATTTTTTCAGTTTATAGAATATAATATATTTACAAAGAGGAATGCACAGTAAATTCTTCAAAAGTTAAAAGAATTGTTTTAAGGCACTTAACTTGTTTCACCGGAACAGGTGTCCTCTGTCAGTGTCAATTAGATCTTCTTCAGAAGATACTGTAGTGAATTGGTATAACAGAAAACCAAATGTATGACTGATAAAAAAAATAATTAGGATTGCACAACTATTATTTTCATTATTGTTTATTCTGTAATTTAAGAGGTCAGACACACACACACCCACACACACACACACACACACACAGTGCCAGATATTGTGTTACATGTATCATATTATAATCGATTAATAACTTGAAGGTTTATTTTTTACATTTGATTAAATGGTGCTATACTGTATGAATTCATTAATAAAGTGAATGAAACGTTGCTTGATTCATGGTCAAATTCCTTATGAAAATTAAATTTTCAATTTTATGATCTGCAATCACAGACAACACAAGCAAATTCTTACGATTGGAAAGTTAGAACTAGGAAATGTTTGGCATTTTTCCTTTACCATAACAGTTAAAGGAGATTAAGTTCCTGTTGATTGATTGACCAATAATCAACTAATCATTTCACTTCCAAAAACAATTTCTCTCCTAGAATTTCATTTGTTCTCTACCTGTTTAAAATTGTGTTTACTTTAGGATAAAGTGGTCAGAAAGAAAGAAAGAGTCAGGAAGCGAAGGAAAGAAATTGCAGCCAAAGATTAAGCAAATAATTAAGGTTACAAATATAAACATACAAATATAACGATAAAACAATAAAGCATTTTTATCAACGTGTTCGTCTAGATATAGTATTTTAATCTCAGAGCGCGCTGTGCGACAACAGGCTCCTGTCTGTTATCATGTTAATGTCGTTAATGTGCGCTACAGTGTTACTACAACATTCCGTACGGCACTTGAACGCAGCATTGCTTTGACGAGTTGGCTAACAAACGGTTAGCACCAGTTGGCTAGCGCCTCTTTCCCAACAGTGTTTAGGCAGCGACCTAACAAAGTGTTTTGAACTCTTCAGAGGGGATATATTGGACTTATCATTTCTCGGACGCGTAGATGGAAACTTTAACGGATTCACGGTATAGAGACGTATCACTTTAGTGCAAGACAAGGGCTTATATTGGATATGTAATGTTAGTTAACGATAGCTAACTTAGTTTCTAACAGTGTAACCTAACGTGAGCTAAAGCTAGCAGCAGGACGGTGCACTGTATCAGCTCATCCGAAATGTTTTTGTAAACTTTTTCTTTGGTAGCTGGCGTGAAATAACTAAAATAAAAAAAACTACCATAAAATACGTAATGCGTATGAGACAGTTATAAACAACATGTCAGTGAAAGCCTTTTGTAAACTTTAATAGAGCTTGTTTTGAAGCATCTATCCTGAGCGAGCTATCGTAAAGGTAGTCACACTCCCAGCTGCGCTTATCTCTTAAAGCTTTGCCAAATTACTCAATTGACGTCTACGCCATAGAGTATAATAGACACAATGCCTTGACAGTTTCCCGGTTTAGGCATTACTTACGACTTTGAATAATAGAATAGTTCATCAGCTATTCGCCATGGCAAGTGCCTTAGCAGCGAAAATGGGATTTAACTCACTGATGAGAAAACAAGCCAGGAACTTCAACGTCAGGATCTGCACAATGGAGTCAGACATGGAGTTCAGCTGCGAGGTGTGTATGTGTGTTTGACAAACTGAGCGTAATTTCAATCAATTTGCATCAAAAGTTCCCCACATTTGCAGTGGCCCTGACCATAACAAGTACATCTAAGTTCTTCTACTGACTGGGTCACCGGTTGTCATGCATTGTAATGCAGCTACAACGTTATTCAGTGTTTAACCATGATCTGTAATGACAAATGAATAAGCGTGTATGTACAGAGTTTAGGAGACAAAAGTGATGATGGTTCTCAAAATATGACAGTTTCACTTCTCGACACTAGATGGCAGCAGGTAACTTTGAACGCACGCAATTGGTATAGTGGGTCTATTGCATAGAAGACTGTATCTGTTATAATTTATCTCTGTCTTATGCAGCAATGGAATCAAGAACATTTTAGTCAGTGGCAAAGCTCAATGCAGTATGAGACTTGCAGTATAGGGCGTGAGACTCATCACTGCATCATCCTGCAGTGCGAGTTAAAAAAAAAAAAAATGCACTGATTTATTCTGGATTCATTATATATTTTTGGCCTTCTTGCAGTGTTTTGGGGTTTAGCATATGACTTGGCTGATGATATACCAGAACTGAAAGGCATCAAAATGACTTGCAGACACCACCTCTGTACTTAAAGGGGAGGCACCACACCAACGTTTGCAGTGGGTAATTACACAGAGCAGCATAATGTTAGTTGCAGGTTTCTATTTTCTGTGCTGGGATGATAATTGTATCAATTATGGGTTTTGTAAATAGCATTTAACGGGGATCGGTCATATAGACAAAATGCTCATTCAGCCTTACACAGGAATTTTGGATTTGTCCTAGTTGGCATCCCCTGCTGCATGGTGGAGCTGTAATTCTCATTTCTTGCTGTTTTTAACTCGTTTTTTTCACGCCAACCTTGAATGCACTTGAGATAAGCTTGCACCTCGAGTTAGCTCAGAGGCTAGAGATGAAAGCAATCTAAATTGGATATGTGTGCCTGATATGGCTCCCTTATAGCTCTGAGCTGGATCAGGAGAACATGCACGGCTCCCTGCTCTGAAACAGAGACTGAGGTTATGATGAAAATTCTTGTTGGTCTTATGAATGGCCGTCAATACTTAACCTGATAATGAATCAAGTGCTTCCATTCTTTTGCTAATTTGTGCACATTAGAGGAACAAATTATGAGATTTTAATGTCAATATTTAGCTCTGATAGACTGAGTTTTCACTGTTTTTGAGTTTAGTGTTTCTTTTGTTTGCTGTAGGATGGCACATTTCTTTCAGTATCAATTCAACCCATTCTGATAATTCCCCATTTTCAGTTCTTCTCTTCTGATAAAATTGTATAAGACTAAAAACAATTATATTTCCCAGGTCAAGTGGAAAGGAAAAGACCTTTTTGACTTGGTGTGCCGAACTCTGGGACTGAGGGAGACGTGGTTCTTTGGGCTCCGCTACGACATAAAGGACACAGTCGCTTGGTTGAAGATGGAAAAGAAGGCAAGTGATTCTCATGTTATACTGGTCTTGTAACAGCCATGAATCATGTAAACCTTGTTAATAAAGGCGTAGCGGGGCATGAAAAGGAAATGCATCTCCCAACCGTGCAAATGTTGATTTCTTTGGTTCATTATCGTAGGTTCTGGATCAGGAGGTGCCGAAGGAGGAACCAATCACCCTTCATTTCCTGGCCAAGTTTTACCCTGAAAATGCTGAAGAGGAGTTAGTGCAAGACATCACACAGCATCTCTTCTTCCTACAGGTAACTATACATAATATAAACCTTTTTTCATGCTTATATTAAGAGTTTTGTTTTCTCCATTTCAACGTAAATCAGATTGAAAAGTATTCAATATAAGCATTGAAATATCTTTTCACTCTGGGTATAGATACTCCCCATGTCTATTTCCTATGTATTTCATTTGTGTCTATCATGTCATAAAGACCTTATGACAACGTTCTTTGTACGCTTGCACTGAAACATTATCTCCTTATTCTGCTGCTCTCGAGGTTGAAATTGCTATGGGCTTACAGAAAACCTGAAATTCAACATGCCTCTGGGAAGAAGCTGCATATTACTGCCTGGCTAGTGGGCAGACCCTTTTTTTTAAAACCTCTTTTTCCTTGATCCTAATCTTCCCAGAGGGGTGCTGTTTTCAGGACTTTAAAAGGAACATGCTTAGAGGTGGGTGTTATCTTTCTGAGGAACTAGATGAGTCAAAATAAATACTTTAAAAATATAGCTGTGTGAGAACATGATAACTGATGTTTAACACATTAAAGCCTTTAAAAATGCTCTGTAGATTTAGGATTATCCATTTCACCCTCACACAGCAGGCATTTGGCTGATGCGCTGTGTCTGCTGCTTCCTTACTATTCTGATCCAGTGTCAACAGGGGGCACACGTCCACAGAGTTTCTGACAAGTTGTTGAGCAGAGCACTTTCTAATACACCTTTTCCATTGTCCTGGTCTTATTGTGTGCAGCCATGTGGAATCAATGCGCAACATATTACCGCTGCCCTTTCTCGCCACTTAATACTCTCTGGGGAATTCCTGCGGAGCCTGCCACACCATTCCCCTCGCAAGAGATGAGATTTGTAACTATGCTCCCATCGTCCAGCGCCACCAGCCACATTTATCAATTACCAATTAGGCTTTAAGGGTTCAGTTATTGGCCCAGTTAATGACATATTCTCCATGGGATGCTCATCCCCCCATAGAAACTCGTCTCATATCCAGCACATTGTGCTGGTTTAGTTGCATGGCTTGAGACAACAGCACGCATGTGTTCCTCAACATTTTGATAGAGGCACTTACCAACTTAAGACATATAAAGTCTCTGTGTGTCCTTAATCTGTTTAGAGGTAGTGTAATGTATTTATTTCAGAGTGGGGAAAAAAAAACCTGGCTACAGCGACAAATTAACAACAGTTAAAGCGGTACACAGCTACAAGGGGAGAAGAATACAAATGTGTAATGCCTCGCATCGCCTGTCTCCTTATTACTTTGCTCTCATTAATTCCCATAATGTCGGGAGCAGGCCTCTGTTCAGATAGTGTCACAGGCATGAAAGCTGGATTAGTGCTTATCAGAAATGATCACCCACCCGGATACACACACCCCTCACACACTTTAGACCACTTACACAAACAGACACATGCACGTCTTTGTCACCCCGGCCTGCAATCTTAGCAACAACATAGTCTCATTTGTAAACTAGATTGCAGCCTCAGCCTCTTAGCGCTTGCAACGATTAGGGGCTGTCACCTCTGGCTCCACACCTATGTCAGTTCAAAATAAGACAAGACAGCATGACTGCCTTTGCAAATGATAAGGTTTGAAGCATTAAATTGCCCACTTATACAACTATGGCTGAAGCATGTTTTCACTGTCTAACTGTACTATTCCGCTCTGTGCTCTATATGTAGTTATGAAAGTTTTCGATTCAATTAGTTTGACAGGTGACGAAGCATGGGCAGTGACACCTGGTGAGACGTTGGCACTTTAATCTGGAGGGAGCTTGTTAAAGGGGATTTTTTAAGAATTCATGTTATTACTATGATCCATGCCAGTAAAGTCGAGACTTGTAAACATGAACCACTCTTTCCGTAAGGCATAAACTAAGCCTTGAATTTGTCACTCTTACTGTGCTGGAGTGAATTCACACACATAGAATGAGCTGTCCTGGGGGCATAGAAAGAACATGAATTATAAAAATGGGTGGTGCTCTCCTTTAATTATGATTTGGAGCTTTTCAAGGACTCACACATTTCTGTCAAGTCATTATGCTCTGCTGACTAGCAAGCTGATATTCTTGGAGGACTTTAATGATCATATGAAATAATGTTGGCTTGGGTACATAGTCCCTGGCTCTGTGTCTAATAGGTCCCCATGTGGCTATGATACTTAAGTCTTACAATATTTATTTGGCACAGTTTGTCCTGCTTCCAGACCTCTCTAAAATGTGCAAGTACCAGTGTACCCTAGCAGTAGTAGCTGGAAGTTTATTTACCCAGTTTGCAAGCATATAATAACGTGATTTTCTGGCTACTGAAAAGAGGCACTGTGCTGTTGCTGTATATGGTTCCTGTATAAGTGGAATTAAGGGAATAAAGTTCTGGCTGTCAAAAGCACAGTTGTTAGGAAGTTGCGTTTTACCTTGCACTGTCACTGCTCTTTCTAAGGTATCAAGTCTTTTTTCATTGTGTTTGAGATCTCATGTCAACCTGATTCAGATCCTTCATCTCACAAGAATAAATTTAAAGTTTTTTTTTTTTGGCCTTTATTGGACAGTGACAGCCGAAGATAGACAGGAAAGGGAGGCAGAGAGAGAGGGGATGACACGCAGCAAAGAGCCATAAGTCGGATTCGAACCCGGGCCGCCAGCTCTACCGATTGAGCTAACCGGGCGCCCAACACAAGAATGAATTTGTTCCTCTCATGGAAATCAATATAAAGGAGAAGTAATACACTGAAGACAAAGAATAGATGTGCTGATTTATATTATAAAAATAGTTTCCTCCTAAAACCCACCCTCACTGGAAATGTCTTCAGTGCTGTCAAAACATTTAACAGTGAAAAGCTTCTCCACTGATTTAACTAAACGGCACAGAATATACATTATCTGCATGGTTAATTCTGAATGGATTTTTGTGTTAGAAAGGTTAGGGAATGAAGTAGGCTTTGCTGTTCAGGTGGATACATGCATGGTGAGATTAGTCGGGGCCTCAAAGTTGTTTATATTTGGTAACTCCTCAGGTGAAGAAGAAGATCCTCGAGGAGGAGATTCACTGTCCACCCGAGGCCTCTGTGCTGTTGGCCTCCTATGCCGTCCATGCCAAGGTTAGTGCTCTTTTTGGAATTTTATCCTTCAAGCAAGATCCGTACATCCATTCATCCATCCAACCATCCATCCATTCATCTGTGTATTCTTTAATGGTTTATTTATCTCTCCTTTAAAATCTGCATGACCAAATGGAAACTTCTCCTCCTCAAGCATATTTTCTGAATTATTGGTCTGATGAAGTGTGAACAGCTGCAAATAATTCACTACAGCAGTGCTCTCTCTAACTGCACTAAAGAATACAACAGTTTCAAAGAAAAGCAGTGTAGACCCAGCAATTTTAGATGTTTCGGCCAGGTTTTCAGGCCCATCCCAGGAAGAGAGAAACCACTAGAGACTGTGGCATCAGACTAAACTGTATAGTGTGTCACAGCATCATTTGAAAGTTAAAATTTACTTGAACTGACTCAACCTCAACTTACCCTCCTTACATTTCAGGCTGTAGATATTAAAAACTCTGTTATAACCTGTAGTGTGTCACTTGATTCATATACTATAGATTGGCTCAGAACAGTGCGGAGAGATTGCATGTTTTATCACCAGCAGGCTTGATTATTGTAATCTTCCAATTTCTAATTTTCCTAAAAGACATAAATCACCTACAATTGATTTCGGAGCTCTGCTGTCTGAGTCCTGATAAGGAAGAGTGCAAATTACTTGGGCTGTAACGGTACACAGAAGTCCCGTTCAGCTCAAGTTCGGCACAGCGGGGAAACAACCTCAAATGCGTAAGGATGCAAATCCAAAAGGGTGCGGGTGAGAAACTCTGACTGGGAACAACTGATTTAAGGGATGCAGGCGAGTCTTCCAGCTCCAGCCTTTAATTTGTGCTTGCCACACTGTGACTGATCTGCAATCAGCATGTTGTGATAACCTCTCTAACGGCACACGGCTAAAAGGTGGAACCCCAGCGCTTGTCAACTTTGGTTCTGCATTATGTGCATCAATCTACATAGCATGTAGTCTATGTGTGGCTGTGTGCACTGGACCCCCGATCCCGCATGGTGGTGGTTCGGCACAAATACATGAACCGTCCTACACAATAGTTCCATCACCGTCTAGTTTTGGTATTGATTTTAACATTAAATTTACTGTATCATCCTAGCATATCTGCAGGTAGCACAAGGCGTCAATTGAAGGTGTAACCAAATAGTGCAGAGTGTCCAGTTTGGTGGCCTCAGGACATTTTTCATCTTATAACTGATATAGTAATGGTCCTATATGTACATATAGGCCATATATATACATATGGGGTCTGTTCTGCGTGCATTGTACCAAATTGTTTGAGTAATTGTAGCAGTCAATGTACAGTACGTTCTACTCCTCAATCACTCCTCCTAACCCTTATGGTCATGAACATGGGTAGTGACTGAATAAACCAAACTGCAGAATAAAGTGGCTAGAATTAGCTTCCTTCACTGGGTGGCTGGGCTTATCTTTACAAGAACTAAGACACTAAAGTACTAAAGTAGGGCTACTGCTCCTTTGCATAAAAAGGAAACGGTTAAGCATTTCAGGGATTTGATCAGAATGAGCCCCCAGGCGACTGCTTAAGATTTGAGGGTAGGCATGGAAGTGTGATATGTGATATAGATTTTATGTCATATTGTATGGCCCCAGTCAAAACTGACCTTTTTAGACTGGCTATTAAAAGTGTCTTTATAATTGTAATTTATACTGTAATGATATTATTTAATTATGATTTTATTCCTTTTTTACTTATTTCTCTGTACATTTTTATATTTTACATTGTTTCACTGTTTGTGTTTTCCTTATTTAGGATCTCATTAAGCATACTCTGAGCACTGTAGACTGTAATATCCTGTATGAAAGGCACTGTGTGAAAATCTTCATTGATTTATTGGTTGAGGATCAAACAACAAGTTACCTGAAGTCCATGGAAATCACTTCACAGGAAAAAGCTCCCTTAATAAACCTCAAGCAATCTGAGTCGTTTTGGTTGAAGGATCCCATCTCTCTGAAATCCCCACAAAAAGATAGGGAGAGTGAGGTTCAGCTTTTTGACAGGCGGACAGGGTCTAGTGAGACCAGAGCTCTACCTCAAAGATTTGGCCAGGAGCCCTCAGAGACTATCCTTTCCCATGCCAATTTAAAAGGCCTAGGTTACAAGAGACTGTGGATACTGAAAAATCAGCAAATGAGCTTGAGACTTGTTCTCTCTCCTGTCAGCACCCGCGATCTGGAAACAGCAAAAGAATATGGGGCCACAATCTGTTTTCATTTAATCAGTAGTCCACTTTGATTAGAGCCAATGTGAGTAAATTGGCATGGTAAAAGGGAGACAGGTACTTGTTTATCAATGCAGCTGCTGAGAGGTCTTTGGCAGACCTTTCTCTTCTCCTTTTCTAATGATGAGTTGTTTTTGTGCAGAATCACAATACAGCCCGTGAAGTTGAGTATATCACACAGTGGGATCTACTTTGGTACCTTAGCTCATCTTTAATCATGATTATGCCAGCCTGAAGATAGGAATAAGGAGAAAGTAAATGTGTTTTCCAAGATGGCATAAATGTTTAAAAGAGTTTTTTTTTTTTTTTTTTAAATAATGTGAATCATAGCTCTGTTCAGTTGCGGACAATCGCACACAGAATGTGTGCGTGGAATCTGTTTCCAATTGGAGGAAAAAGTGTAATTCATAACAAAATGCAGTTTGAAGCCATGAAAGCGACCATTACCTTGTATGAGTTACAGAGACTGTAAGAATAGAGGAGATAACAGAAGTTATGAATAGTGGAGGAATTTGTGTGTGTGTTATTCTGACTCACTTCGGAGCTAACAACCTACTTGCTGAAAAACCCTAACCTGCTTGCTGACTGTACGAATGTAAACAAGCTAGCAACTGTTACCTTATGCCAGATCTCCCCACGTGCAAATGTTCCATCAAAACAAATTCCCCCCGGCACCATTGACAGCTGTGATTAATTTAAAGAAATACAAATAAGCAAGAGTATGTTTTTCACCTTACACAGTACCAGAGTGATAATGGTTGAGCCAGACCGTTCTCCAGCATTGTCACAGCACTAAAACAAAGTGTGGCAATAGGTCTGGCAATGCAAGACTATGTGTGCACAAATGCTCTGACTTACTTCTTTTTATTTCACCTTTGTGCTTGGGACCTGAAACACACAGATAAATGCACATACAGTGAGATTCCAAGTTATTGCCCTGCTGGAAAAAGATGGATGAAGATTTTTAAATGTCGAACTTGTGGGTGACACTGGTTTTCTACATATTCTCCATCAACCCTCTCTAAGACAGAAAGTAAACACAATTCCCAACATTATTTGTATGTGTATGCTCTGTGAGCCAACAGTTCAGCCTCTGTGGGTCTGCAGAGGTTTCACTGCCTCCCTGCTTTGTATTCTGAGGGGGTGCAGTGCTACAGGGAGGTGTCGACGGGGGAATACCAAGAAACAGCCGCTCTGGAAAAATGCAGAGGGTTGAGTAGCGAGTGAGGTCGGCTCCCTCAGCCACAATGCCACTGGGGGCGTGGGGATGCATGTCCAACCAAGTAGCGAGGGGGTATGACAAGCTAATAGGCATGAATGACACTGCTGGGAATCACTATGTTTTTCAGGTGGCTTCAACAAGACTTGTGCCTTTTTGAAAATTGCATGAAACAGCCTCGTTCTGCACTATGTTTACTGTTTACTTCACTCACAATCTTCTTGTTTCTTTTTTTCCACCTAATTCTTCTGTCACCTCAGCATATGATATAGATATGACGATTTCCAATCAGTCTAAACAGCAAAGAGCCAAATAGAGTTGTACTTTTCAGTTTCAATCTGGACCCCAAAATATGTTATTTAACACTCATTGGAATGTGTCAGCTTTGCCTTGAGATTATGTAAATCCCGCTTCACTCACCTGACTGAACTGTCATAATGTTGATGCCCACCACAGCCTGGGTGAGCCAGCATTAGCATGAGGGACAATGAGACACAGAGACTGGAAGGAAATGATACAGCCGATTCTGCTGCAAGCTGGTGAGACATGTCAGTTCAGTCACAATGTAGAAAAATAGGTGATTTTTGTTTGTTTTGTCATGTTATTAGTTGTTACTCACATACACTGTGAATACATACAGAGAGTATAAATGTTAACAGTTATTAAAAAAAGGCACGCTGGTTATTTAAGTTAATGCTAACTTCAGCATGCCAATATGCTCACCATAACTATGCCAGCGTGCAAATTTTAAGCAGGTGTAATGTTTACCGTGTTATTGCGTCAGCATGTAGACTTTTGGTAATTAGCACTAAACATTAAGTACAGCTTAGGCAGATGAGGTATTGGGAAAATGATTACGATTCATCCTCAGGGGGCGTGAGTCATCTCCCTGAAAACAACAAATGTGGCAACTAGAGGAAAAATCAAGCAAGTGATTCCAAGATGCTAGCATGGCTAAAAAAAATCAGATGCGAACAGCATTTCCAAACTGACATTGCACAGTTAACATAGCCTTAGTATTGGTTTGGTTTTGTTTTTTTTTTTTTTTTCTAGTATAGCTATCTATGAAATGAAACGCTAGCAAGAAAAAGGCGCCAGCAATAATGCCTTTCTTTGATTAAAGTCTAGTTCATGGCTAGATATAAGAAACCTGTATTTCTCACTATTATACTGTAAATGGACTTTCATGGACTGAATTTCCTAAATTTATAAAAGGGTTCTATTGAACACAGTGTTATATATGTGTCAGTCAGTCAAGTCAAGTCAAGTCAGCTTTATTGTCAAATATACTATATGCATAACATACAGCATAGATGAAATTTCAGTCCTCTCCGACCCACGGTGCAAACTGGCAATAAAAAATAAACTTCTATAAATAGAAAAGACATAAAATAAACAATCAACAATCAGTCAGTAGTCACTGTAGCACTGCTGTGAGGGTGTTGGGGTATATCAATGATTGGAAGAAAGGTGTGTAATCAGAAAGCATCTGTGAGCACTGTCACTATCAAAATACCACCCGGTCTCTACCTGAGCTGAAGTTGGTGCCATAATACCTCTATAAGTCTATATTTCATCAATTATGTAGCAGTTACAAACAAATAGGTGAGGAACTGAGGGAGTAGAAGCTGCAAAACTGAAGGGAAAGGATCTAATTAAATGGCCCCTGGCTTCTCTATTCTGTTAGCCACTACACCGGTGTTCCAGGCTTTCCAGTCGGGTTGAGCTTATTAAATTCAGGTCTGTTAAGTACTGTTTTTAGGCTGGTGTGCAGAAAAACAAAAATCCAATTAAACCTCATAATAAAAGTCACAGTATAAACACAACAAAACAACTCAACAACAAATAGAATTGGTTCAGTCAAGACCACTTTTGTCAAAAGTATTTCTTTTTTTATAGGCTAAAGCAGCTTAAATAAGGCACACTGAGTGACATTTGCCAATAAGATACTTGAAGGTTGAGCTATCAGCTGATATGTGTTACGATCAGCTGCAATCAGCTCATGTAACTGGAATTGCTAGCTGAACTGAACGCTGTGCTCAGTTTTGGTCGATCAGAACCATACGAGTGGTCAACAGCTTCTGATTTATTGTGTGCAAATTAGTGATCACCGATGTGCATTAAATTACATTTGTCATGTCTTTTTGCTAAGTAAGGACTTAATGATGTATTTTCTTCCAAACACATGTAACATCAAAATACATGGTTTTGGTTTCATTCCCTTCCCTTGCATTTCTGAGACAATTTCTTTGTTGTTGTGTTGTTGTTTTGTGCTCCTTCAGGCAACTGGCTAACTGAAGGTGACACAGCAATGAAATTCCAAGTACAGTTACAAAGACACTTAAGCAGCAGCAGAGGCTTTTTAGTTATTTGAAATCTCAGTGGTATTGTCACATTTTGGTATCAGAGTCTTTCTTAGACTACCTACCTGTTTTCCACCAAGGTACAACCAAAACGTTATAGACAGAGAAATCCAGGAGAAGAGGATAGGACACCACCTTTGGTGTCAACCCCTCAACGTCAAAGACAAAAGTTCTTCTAAAGCCTATTATTCTAAGTTCAACTGTCACTTTGGTGCGTTCGCTCTTGAGTTAAGGCACTTTTTGAGCATATTTCATAAGTATGGCTTGTGAATCTCATACATACAGCATGAGCCGATTAGGGGTGGGGAATTTGCAGTTAGGCCTAAAATCTGAAGACTCTTTGATAATGTTAGTTAGTTGTCTCTTGAATACCTCGGTCCTCTGAAGTGGAAAGATGCAAAAGGGTTGGAATATATAAAAACTACCTACCTCAATGACCTCTTGTAACAAAAACAGCAAAATAACAAAGAACTGTAATCACTCTGACAAGAAATGAATGTGATAACAGCATTTTAAAAACCATGCACAGAGCATGGGCAAACTCCAAGTTAACCTACTTACATAAATCTACAGTCACAGACCACTTTTTAATCTGTAGCTACATGTATAATTCATTGCCTTCCACCAGTTTTACAGAAGCCCAAAGGAAATTCTCCACTGCCACTCAGTCATGCCTAATCCATCCATATCTTTCTTTAAACATGCGTGATGTAATTTGTATCCCGGCTCTATGGTGATAAGTGATCAGTCTCAGTTCTCACAGAGATATCTCTAATAGCATCATTTCCACCGTCTCCCAACAACTGGGCCACTGGGTGTGCAGTGCACGTTAATGACCCAACGACAGACCAGCCTCCATTCATTCTCCAAGACACCTCCTTTTCTTACAGGGGCTGTTTCATCTTATGAACAGCTCCCAGGAGAGGTATAGACTGGCCTGTTATTGGAGGTAAGGTGGATAGCGGCCATTAGGTTGGAGTGATTTTAATCCTTTTGGCACTTTTGCTCTATTTCCCAGTACGGAGACTACGACCCTAGTGTCCACAATCCTGGCTTCCTGGCTGAGGAGGATCTGCTGCCGAAGAGGGTGAGTGACAGCTGTGTTTATTTATTGTCATTCATAAGTGAAGATGTTTACGTATTTACACATATCATGGATATTTATGTCTTGTCTCTCCATTGTAGGTGATTAACTTGTACCAGATGACTGCAGAAATGTGGGAGGAGAGGATCACAGCATGTTATGCAGAGCACAGGGGCAGGACAAGGTAAGAATTGCTGCACTGCTCTGTACCACTGTGAAGTTCCGCAGTAATCAGCGAATTTAAGTTTGAAGTTCACATAGGATGTGCTTAAGAACTTGGTTCCGCAAGAAATGTTTTATGCAAAACAAGTCCATTTTGGCAGCGAGATGCAGAAAGAGTTACATAAAAGTTGTTTCTGTAGGGACGTTTTTAAAGGAGCATTAATGAATGTGCACCAACAGCCAAATGGTACAGCTTCCTACAGCCTGTAACCTATCTATTTTCATAAGAGAAACACATCTAATAAGGAGCAAATATATCATAGGGAATATGACTATAAGGATAACACGAATATAATTGCATTTATAAATCCAAAATGGAAATTCAGTTGTTATTGTTGCACTTTGTTCCACTACTAAGCTGAACTAAGTTGAAAATGGATAGGGTGTAAGCGTGAGGGATGTGGAGTGTCTTAAAACTCCCGTGGGTGGGGAGTTCTAAGCTGGAAAGTGAATCCTACAAGCTAGCAATCCTCAGCACTTGTAAAAGTAGTAATTGAGTCACTGGTGCTGATCAATAACCCTTTCAGCCCTAGCAGATAGAGGGGAATTGGTCCTCACACCTTTAGCATTTTAATTGTTTAGTAAGTGATGTAAAGTAGTGCTGGCACAGGAGGGAGGTCACTGGCCTTCTGATGGCAAAAGTTTTTTGATACTACTACAGTAACTGAGTGTTGGTATAAATTCCAAAAAATGTTTTCCCTCTTCTTCAGATACTTTTCTTTGAAAAATACAAACATGTTTTTTGGCTTTCTCTGTCCATAGACAAAAACAGTCATTCAACCTCGTAGATAATCGTAAAACAACAATTACCAACTCTGGTTTGGTCAAATACATCCTTAATTCACAGAGCATATTAGAAAAACAGCAGTTTAAGTCACTCCTCAAAGCCAATAGTTTCATTCATTGACGCCATTTACATAGCAAACAGTTGTTTGCTGTTTGCTGCATTATTAAATATTTTATATATAATCTGTAAAGAAAAACAAAATTGATCAGACATTCCGTGCTGGCCTTTGGTACTTGACAGTTTCACTGTTTTCGGCTCACATCCTATCCAAACTTGATAAGAAATTGATTAGAAAAAAAAAGTTGTTAGCCAACATCAAAGTAACTAACTGACTTCCCATGTGTGCCTGTCTTTTCATTTTCATAGAGTGCAACTCTAATGCTTTACACTTCCACAGCATTAATCAAGCATTTAAATTTCCTCTGCCCCACTCTAAAGTCAGAATGTACTCGGCTTCCAACCTAGTTAAGATTTGTTTACTTGGCACAATGCTCTCTTGCCTATTAAAACTTTGATGAAGCTTAAATCATCAATTTCCCAACCACCCATATTAAATTTAGAAGGAAGCATGCCCTGATTTTCTCTCAACCATCAAAGTATGCTAATGTTCTTTTTTGCTGAGTTGACCCTGAAATCACTACAGTTCTTCCAACCGGCCTGCAGAAAGAGAGGAAGAGACAATTTTGATACATTTGTTTTTTCTAGGCATCAGAATAAGTCTTCTATTCTATCAAGTGTGACCTCTAAAGCCTGTCAGCGAATTATAGTTGTGTTTTGTGTCGGTACTGTTCTTATGTTTTCACCCTCACAAGAGCTATGTGGCAGAGTTTTTATAGATCACACAAAATGACAGATGCTACACACAAAAGCGAAGAACGAGGTCTGATCTCCTTTTTCTCTCCACTTCTGCACCTCCCACCCTTCCCTCCCTCTCTTCTCCATTCCCTTGGATCCCTCTCAATCCCTTTCTCTCGCTGGCTGTCTTTGAACCAGGGATGAAGCTGAGATGGAGTATTTAAAAATAGCTCAGGACCTGGACATGTATGGCGTCAATTACTTTTTAATCAGGGTGAGCCAATGCTGCTTCGCTATATCTTTACAAAGTAAGCCAATATGAGAGATTATGTGGCGTGTCAATTTCAGTGTGGTGTTATGAAATGAAGTGGGGGAATAGCAGTCTGACACTCTAAGCTCTAAATTGTCCCTTTGTTCTTACAATTTTTATGTGTTTAGTTTCTTCTATCTAATGTATGTTTTGGGGTTAATAAACTGCTATTTGGCCCTGGATCTTTTCCAGGTCAGTCATAAGGAAAACAAACCCTAATTCCTAACAAACAGAAATTCACTCGAGGTGACTCTTGCCTTGATCAATGCATTCTCTAAAAGGCTGAGACATTTTAAAATGCCAGCAACAAGTCAACCTTAGCTTAAGTAATTCACTGTAGCATTACTTTTCGAATAAACAAGCCCAGACTGCACGGAACACCCTGCAACTGGCGTTGTTCAGCTCAGCTCTAACAAATACTTTTGGCAAGCAGAGTCACCGCAGTGCCACCTCTGTCAAAAGCAACTACAAATGAATGTTGGCTGCAAGGGTGGTTCCGCAACCACTCGCAAGTGTCCCTTAATAGACATAGCTAGAAAAGCTTTGTTTACTCTGCTGATGTGATTCAGAATAAAAAGGGAACAGATCTTCTTCTGGGAGTGGATGCCCTGGGTCTGCACATCTACGAGCCGGACAACAGGCTGACACCTAAGTGCTCCTTTCCTTGGAATGAGATCCGCAACATCTCCTACAGCGACAAGGAGGTGGGAGAATCTGCTGTTGAACTTCATAGTAAAAAACTGGAGGCACAGTACTTGGATTGTAATAAAGATGGTTGGAACTTGAATATAGAGCTATATATTGGCAATCATTTAGTATCCTAACTTGTTGATTTTGAGGAGAATCATATTGTGTGTTATGCTATTGTTTTTCAAGTTTCAAGTTAATGATTGAGTGCAAATTAGAATGAAAAACTAACAAAGTTATTGTTTTAACATATGAAGAGGGTTTATCTCAACCTCTTTAAAGATATTGAACAGGTTTACCTGACAGATGTCTCTTTTTCTTTTGTTCCTTGATAAAAAAAAAATTGGTATTCTTGTCTCCTCAATGTTTAGTTTACCATCAAACCTCTGGACAAGAAAACTAATGTTTTCAAGTTCAACTCTTCACGGTTAAGAGTCAACAAGTTGGTGAGTGCTGCTGAGATTGTGTGAAGTTGTTTTGTCTGTGACTAGTAAATATTGAGGAAAAATACTGGAAGTGGCTAGTGAATTAGAGTTTTGGGATATGCCAACCATTTTGGTGTATCACTGTAAATAACACCCATTCTTGGATTTGTTTCTCATGTGCAGATCCTCCAGCTGTGTATAGGGAACCATGACCTGTTTATGCGCCGGCGGCGGGTGGACTCGCTTGAGGTACAGCAGATGAAGGCTCAGGCCAGAGAGGAGAGGGCCAGAAAACAGGTACTGATAATGGAGAAACAAAGAAGTTGGCAGGTTTCCATCGATGTAGTGCAAATTTTAACCAGATATTCAGAAAATCGACAAAAGAAAATGCAAATGAATGCGTGTTTGTATCCGCTACTTATATGCAAATATTATGAGTTAACATCAAGATAAACAGCTGCTGGCGGTAATTCTCCAGTCCGGAGGCATTAAACCATTGCAGAAGGCATTCATTTTTGTTTTATGTATTAATCATAAGGAATGTTAGTCTCCTCATTGCTCTACACAGATCTGATGTGTTTGTGTTTTCAGTGGGGTGGAAGCTTGAGTTATGTTTAAGTCACTCTGCTTGTCACATCTACTCTTGTATGTCATGTGTTGATTGATGATTTAAGTGTGTTTCCATTAGATACACCATTTTTTTCACCTCAGCCATTGTAAAAACCCTTTTGGAATATTTCAACTTTTTATAGAATTTCTGGTGTTTCCAATCAGGTTTTTTTCAAATTGAAAATGCACATAAAAACAAGAGGATGGAAGTACACTTAGTGACACAAAATGGAATTGTGCCCAGCCACTCTCATGTTATTTTAATACTTAAACTGTAGATGTCTTTAATGTGTTGTCTGTAATTGCTCACACTGTGTTCCAAGTTAGGGGGGGAAAGCAAGCACCCAAAAATGATTTGTTATCATGTCAAAGTGTTTTTAATTGTATGATGCTGTCCATCAGGTGCACCTGCTTCATGATTTTCTTCTGTCAGATAAATTTGTCCATTGTTTTTACATCAATATTCCATCTTTTGTTTTTAGTTTCTTTCATTCTTTGTCCATATACCCACCATATCCTCCTTTCTTTGTCCACACTCCACCTGCCTGTGTCATTCAGGTAGAGAGGCAGCGTCTGCAAAGGGAGAAACAGTTGCGGGAGGAGGCAGAGAGAGCCAGGGACGAGCTGGAAAGGAGGCTGATGCAGCTGCAGGATGAGGCCCACATGGCCAATGAGGCACTGGTAAGATTATGTTGGTTAGCTTAACCCAAAATCCACAGTTTGTTGGCTATGTCACATATTAGCAAAGGTTTCAGAAAAACAATATTTAGTCAAATTGAGCTCCTGTCAGACCATCTTCACTGCTCCTCTTTTTCATTTCATTTACTCATTCTTCCCCTCTAATGTCTCTCACTGTGCCTCTTTCCCCTCCATCAATCTCTCTCGCTCCTTCTGTATACATGCACATATCTCCCTCTACACCTCTCTTCCCCCTGCCCTCCTCTCTTTCACTGCACATATTTTCATCTCTCTTTGAGATTTTGCGTAATTCCTTTATCTCCCATTTTCAACTTTTCTTTTCCCCCTTCTTGTGTTTGCCCTTCCTCATCCTCCTCCTCCTCCTCTTCCCCTCCTCTCCAGCTGCGTTCAGAGCAGACGGCAGACCTGCTGGCTGAAAAGGCCCAGATCGCGGAGGAGGAGGCCAAGCTGCTGGCCCAGAAAGCTGCTGAGGCTGAGACAGAGATGCAGCGCATCAAAGTGACTGCCATCCGTGGCCAGGAGGAGCGGCGGCTCATGGAGCAGAAGATGCTAGAGGCAGAGATGCTGGCCCTTAAGATGGCCGAGGAATCGGAGAGGAGGTGGGGGCAGGAGGAAGGAGGCTTGCGTGGATGAACGTAATTCAGCCATCCGTGCTGCAATGAATATGATTCTGATCAAGCTTTGGCCGCTTAGTGGCGTTGTCTCCGTCAACACTGTTTCTCTCATAGCCATATTCTCTCTCTTTGTATCTATCTCAAATATAAAACTTAAATTACTTATTCGCACATCTTACTTACTTTCCAAGAGGTTTTTTTTACTCTTTATTGTGAGTACCTCAAACTAAGGAAGCTGTCTTACATGAGCATCAAAACACAGTTCCTAAATAACATCAACACATGAGCCTCCCGAATGCTTTTGAGTAACTATACTGTTTAATGTTGAGGTGCACAAACACGCTGCTACAGTTTGCTCAGCACCACACAAGTCCGTCGATACGCTCTGAGCATAGGCTAAGTAACGCAGCTGCATTCAAATTGCTGGATCAAAGAATAAGAACTTCTAACTTGTTTAAAATCATTTAATTTTAAAGGCTTTGTTCCTGCACTGCGGCTGAAAAGCAGGTAATCACGCAGTTACAGCCACACTGCTGCACACAGAAAGGAAGGAGAGAAAGCTTTTGTTCTGCAGCCCTCCTCCTAGGTCTGAGACGCAGCAGTTAATTTGGGCTAGTTAATTGTTAGCAGTAGTATCGATTGATAGCGGCAGTCCCTATCAAATTCTTTTACTACACACTGAAGCTCCACTGTGCTGACTTTTTTAATCTGTGTTTTATCTGTGCCGTAAAAATCTAGTTTGTCTTTTAATTTTTTATACATCCTAGTTCGAATCAAGTGCTGCTGTTAACTCTTTTATTTCTCTGGAGGTCAGATGGATAAGGAGATGGTGACTTGATGAGCGATCCTTGATCCGCACTCTGTAAAGCGTGATAGATGCCAATCCATTGTAGCAAGTAATTTTCATAATAAAACAGTATACATAGATAGTAAGAATATCCCTTCACAACCTCTACTTCACAACTTATTAGGCAATCATTTCAAATGGGCACCATTAACCACTTGCCAGTAACTGCAATTTCTGGATGAGCACTTTCTGCACCAGAGAAATTTAAACCCGTGGCACTCAACATGTAAATGTCCACTCAAACCCTTGAGGCACATGGCTCCCCCACATCAACTAGGAACTGCAGAGTGTTCAGGAACACAATCAAAAGAAATGTAATCACCTGCATATAACATTTTTACATCTCTGTGTGCAAACTCGATAGTGTCATAGAGTCAGGAATGATTGTCTGCTGGGGTGATGCATTGATCACCTGGGTAATAACAAAGTGACATTCCTGGTTCACAGAGTACCATCATACAGATTATGTAAGATGATTTTGGATTCAATTTAGATAATTTTGTTTCCTTTGAAGGACCGGGAAGTGAATTAAAGTATTAACTGCATCTGTCTGTCTGTCTGTCTGTCTGTCTGTCCCCCAGGGCCAAGGAGGCTGAGCAGCTGAAACAGGACCTGCAGGAAGCCAAGGAGTCAGAGCGCAGGGCAAAGCACAAGCTGCTGGAGATTACCAGCAGGGCTGTCTATACGGTAACCGACCTGAAACATGTGTTTGTACTCACATATAAAAAACACACAGGTAGACGCGCATCAGAACGTATAGTACACAGCTGTTAGTCTATGGTGGGAAATGCATTTTCTCTAATTGATTCATCGTTTAAATAATTTATCTGGAAAATAACCAAATATTTGCTGATTCCAACTCCTCATCGGGACAGTGCAAATTAATAGGGATGCAACAAACAATTATTCAGACTCTAAATCATCAGAAAACAGTTTATTATAAAATTGTCTTGATTTGTCTTGCCAACAGTCCAAACCCCCAAAATATTCAAGTCATATTATGTAAGAGCAAGACAAGCAGCAAATTCTCACATTTTAAAAACCTGAAACCATTAAATGGCATTTTCGATTTTTCAATTGATAATTTTGCTTGTATGAACAGTGCTGCAGCTATACAAATTAATTCTGATTGATTGATAATCGAACAAAATAGTTGCAGATTAATTTTAGGTGATTTTCAATTAATAAAATTAAATGCAAATGTTCATCCACTGTCCCTGGGTGTTTTAATATCTCAAATAAAAATGACCAACAATAATAACATGTATATATAATCAAATCAATGAAAGTAAATCAAAAGATGAATCAATGATGTAAAAAGTTACAGCCTTTGCATAAAACAATCATAATACACATACTATACAGTACATGGATACACTCTTTACTATTACTACCCTATTTGGAGTATCAGATCCAGCTGTTGGTATGGAATAGTAAAATAATAGTTTTAGCTTGACTGCTAATAGCACACACATACACTCAAACATGCACACACCCATGCAGCTGTAGCCCCACAAAGCCACACTGAACAGGAGATTCTTGCATAAGAACAGGCAGCACATAAGGCAGCCTACGCAAGAGCTTCCAACATGTTAAAAACCCACACACTACACATTCATCTGCTTACACACATGTACACACATACACAGATACATATTGAGATGCTGGCCATCTATAGAGAACTCCTCGTTTGTAAGCTTATGAATGAAGAGCCTAAATACACACAGACAAACACACTGGTACACATACATACAAAAGACATGCTGCCACTGGGAATCCACTATACTCTTATCAGCTCATGAGTGAAAAGTCTACACAAGCATACACACACTCTCACACAGTACACAGTATTTCCCATTCCCATTTCTCAGTCAAATTTCCCTCTGTGCTCTTCCAGACCATATTTATGGTGACTGTATCCACCATATAGTTTGGATTCACATGCCAACCAATGGATTTACATTTATATTGTGTATTAGGTCCACTTCATATCTAGCCGCCTCCTGAGGTGGCATGTGGCCAGTGCATTTCAGACATTTGATCAGGATCTAAAAGCATATTTCAGACAGGACCACTTTTGTCAAAAGAAAACGTCCAAATGCAGAATGCTGTATTTGGCTGTATGGCTCTGTTCCGGGACCGCCTTGCCCTTCCATGTGCATATGCGGAAAACCTAGGGCAGGGAGGGGCGGCAGCAAAGACCCCCGAGAGTGCTGAACAGAGCAAGCATCAATGACAACAGAAATTACATTGATTAATTCAGATAAAGCATGAAAGGAGGAGTTGAGGTGGAGGCGGGTTGCAAAGCGGCTTGCAGAGGAAGCAGCAAAGGTAGGCAGGCTAAAGCAGCTTAAATAAGGCGCCCTGAATGATATTTGTCATTTGGATGCTTGAAGGGAATAAACTGAGCTTTCAGCTGATTGTATGTAATTTTCCAATTGGAAGCTTTGGAGAGAATCACCTGCGATCAGCTGATGTAGCTGGAATTGAGAGCTGAGCTTGACTTCCTGGCCTGCCTGATGAAACACTGTACTCAATATTTATGCCTTCATGGTCTGCGACCATCAAAGTAGTCATCTTTTCTTCCCTTTCTCCTTTCTAAGTATTCTCTCTATCTACATTGTGTTGTACTTGCACGTCTTTTCAATGTATTCCTCCTCCCCCACTGTCAACTTTAACTTCTATTCTTTCTCTCCCTCCTTTGTAAATGTATTTTACCCTTCTATCCTTTCCACTGTCTTTGTCTTTCTCTACATCGTTTTTTTCCCCTTTAATTGGTCTTTTATCTCCCCTCCTAGTCCCCTGGACTGCCACCTGACAGCATGCCTCCTGACCTGAGCTTCAGCAGGGAAAACCTCAGCTTTGACTTTAAAGATACCGACATGAAACGCCTCTCCATGGAGATCGAGAAGGAGAAGTGAGTGGCCGGCCCTACTCTACTGATGTTGCCTAATATTTTTCTCAGCAAGTTTGCATTTTACACTTACTGTTTATGTGGCGATCGCAGTGGTTTTGGGATTTAATTGTTAACCAATTGAAGGGATTAATGAACCGATGAATATATATTTTAGAGTAATTTTAATCGCACTTAAAATGTGTGAAAGATCTAACTTAATGCATGGTTGTACTTGGAGGAACCCTGCCACTTTTTAATATGCACATTTTGATTCATGAGTTCAAGTAAGCAATTGACCTTCAGCATTAGCCGTCACTGGTGTCATTGCCAGCATTCAAGCATTTTTTTCTCTCTAGCTCTTGGTGTCGGTGATTGCAGACAAAAAAAAATGAGGTTTATACAAGTATGACCCTGGCTGTGGAGTTGAATAAATTACCCGGGTCTTTGTTGTCATGTAATTAGGTAATTAGTTTTTTTTTTTAAATAAAAGCAAGTGAGCAGAGAGGCTACAGGTCCAGGATTGGTGGGTAACTGTTGAAAAGACATGAAGAAAGACTGTGATGAAATTGAGGGATACAAAAATACATCTAAAATAAATTGTGGCACAATGAGACAGTGAAAAGTGTTTCCCCCTTCCATTATTTTGGAAGAGCTTATCTATCTTTCACAACCTACTATTATAGTTAATTGTACACAGCTCAGTTAAGTTCTCTGGAATTACAATACCTACAACGTTAACCAGCCCATCAGTCCATGTAGTCTGTAATTAACGGGACATTTTAGAATTTGTCATTTTGTTTAAGACCAGAAAAACCTGGAAAAGAGTTTCAATAAAGCTTGAAAACAAGCACATTTTTGCAGAATTGTTATATTGAAAATAACATTAGAGATAGTGGGTTTATTAATTATTACCTACTCGGAGAAAGTCTTTGAAAAAGTTAATTCGCACATACATTTTACGAAGCTTATATAATTCCCTATCTCAGTTAAATGGTTATGTATATAAATTACGGTTATATATGTATAAGTCTTTGCCCCTATTTAGAATGCCTGTTGTTGCCATATTTATTTAAAGTGACTATGAAGAGCTATAAAAGTCAGATCTAATGTGGACGTAGAAGAGCTTAAAGTTGAGAATATGGAAGCAAAAAATTCCAGTGTATGCAGATGACAAAAAAATGGTGGTTAACTGTTAATGGAGATATAATCATTTGGTGTAGCAAACCGTTATGTGTCTCATGAAAAAACGCTGAAAGGGAAATCTTCTAAACTGTCTCCCAACATGTGATTTGATAATGTTTAGAGTCGAGTACATGGAGAAGAGCAAGCACCTGCAGGAGCAGCTGAACGAGCTGAAGACGGAGATTGAAAGTCTGAAGCTGAAAGAGAGGGAGACTCCTCTGGACATTATTCACAACAAGAACACAGAGCAGGGGACCAGCAAGCACAGCAACTTTAAGAAGGTAGCTATCAGCTCGGCTGCCTGCATGGTGGACACACGTTACACATTGTAACACAATGCTCCTCGTATGTTCCTCCTCCAAAATACACTGTACATGATTCTATTACGTAGAATTCCATACATGCCTCACCTACTCAGATTTGAGTACACACATTTGTAGTTAATTTAGCACCTTGTAAACATGCACAAAATGTATCAATAGGTCTTTGATTACATATAACCCTTAAGGTGATTTGAGAAACTCAGAGGTAAAGATAAACATATCTGAAATCCAATAAAAAGAGCCAGAGATTCAACCACATCAATACACAACCACAGATCTGACCCAAATGCTGCTGAAATTTGAAAAAAACATTGATGCAGCTGTCAAAAACTAATCATTACACTCTTTGTCTCTCTCTTGTGTGTGTATTGTGTTCAGCTCACTAGATTCACATACACATGAATCGTCTAACAAGAAATACACACCCTACATTTAGTTGCTTTTTAGCTATTCAACAGCAGTCCGATCAGCTGGTGATACATGAAGTGTAAATGTAGTCCTAATACTAATCCTACACGATCTTCCGAGGATAACTGTCTATCAAAAAATTGATAGTCCTCCCACGCCTAACCATCATTATTTTAAGGTGGGGTATTGATTCTCAGAGCATCATTTAATAGCGACAGTCTCCACTTGGCCCCAGGTCCATTTTTCAGCGAGTTTCTTCTTTCATGGACCCCACTGGAGGAGGGGGACCGATGATTAATTTTTTACTGTGACCTCTAGAAGTAGATGTGATTAGCAGTCTTAAGTGTATTAAAAAAAACAGCTCCTTCAGGGAAATAATTTTGTATGCATCTTATGTCGACTCCATCAGTAAAAATAGCAGTTTCAGAGTGCCCGGTTTGGTGATAATATGAATTGACACAAAAAAGTGACAAGACTCTTTCAGCTTGAGGAATTGATTGGTCAGAGGCAACAGAACTGTTCTAAAAAGTAGATTCTATTCCCACTCTCCTCTGATGAACTAGCAGATTAGACTCATTCTCCTTTATCTTCCCACTCCAGTATCTCTCTATAATTTTAATAAAAGTATGAAATGAAAATTTAAACTATGTGCTCAGTACATTGTATAACAAAAAAAGGGCTACCCCTCCTCCCTTCTTGTCTCTCAGTGTAAAATACACTTGTTAAGAGAGCGGTAATTGATTTTTGCTCGGTGATTAGTCATTTGGATGGATGGGGGCACCTCTGGCATGCAGGGGGGGAGAAGGAGCTAAGTTAAAAGTGTTGGTTTAATTGAACCAGAGGCGGTTGGCATTCATCTTGTTAGCGAGGGAAGGGGCGGGGGCACTCGGTATTACAGTGAGTACTGAAGAGGAGTCGAGAGTTACTAAACAGCTTTGCCAAAAGACGCAGTTGAGCAGAGTTTAGGGGAGGCTGAGTTTGACCAAAAATTTTCAAAATGTTCGAAGGAGGATGAGCCACAAAGAAGATATATGAAGCTGGTGACCAGAGGAGGACCGAATGAAGGGAACACAGTGTGAAAAGAAGAGCAGAGGGAATGTGGAACGAAGCACAGATCTCTGAGCCAGAAGCAGGACCGGCTGCACCTTCGGGCAAGACTCCCTCTCCCCTCTGGATGATTAATGAATGGCCCCTTAACATGGCCCAGCGCCTTTTCTCTTCTACCAGGCCACAGGTTCTGCTCTGTTAGCACCAGGCCTGCCAGGAGAGCTGATTCTCAACAACTGAATCACAACACAAAAGCTGCAGTGATTCTGTGTGAAGTTTCACTGAGAGGAAAAGCTTTTATTTTTATATATTATTGTGTGTGTGTGTGTGTGTGTGTGTGTGTGTATATATATATATATATATATGTTCTCCACCCAGACTGTGTTGAGTGGCACACAAAGGAGGGTCAACAATTGGGGTTACTCTCATTGTGCTCTCCTGCAACAGACAGAAGGATTTCTTTTCTGGAAATAGCTTGCTGTCGTGCCATTCACAACATTAATACTGTACCTGGGACACTGCATTGCTTTTTCCAGCTTGGAGACTGTGGGCAGTGTGGAATACAATGCTGCAGAGTTAGATATTGATAAACACACACTCAGGTTTTCACACTCAGGAATGTAGTTCAGGCTGTCTGTCAGCAGGGACAATGGAAGGTGATCTGTAAACATCATGCTGCAAATCCATCCCTCTCCCACACATTATCTGTTTGGATTTGCTTAAGTCCCTCCATATACACATTCCCCTGAAATAACCTGGATTTTTCAAAACTGTCCTCCTTCAGCCCTGGTCTAATATTTGTTTTCGCAGCCATTTTAATTCCCTTTACCCTACAGATGTTGGAAAAAGGAAAACGTTTGCTCAGCTAATTTGAAGTAGTGCTCACTTGTATTAGATGAGCTGATTGTTAGCTGTGCTGAAGGGGTTAAAGCCCATCAGTAGCCTGGATTAATCCATCACCAGCTCATTTAAACCTGGAGAGAAAAACAATTAACAGTGCTTTCTCTTACTGGAATTGATCTTCTACTCATCCTGCACTACCTGAGAGTTTGGAAAAGCTACAGCTGTCTTTGTCCATTAGGGCCAGTTGTAAACTCTGATTGAGACTGATTTTTGTTTCATTATGAAATATATCAACAACTGTGCATTCCTTCACATACCTCAGAGATTCATTACAAACAGAATAACCTTGGGGGTATGTATTCAGTAAACACACAAAAGTGTACAGACTCTCCAATTATCTTCCTCTTATAATCATTTAGTATTTTGATTAGTCAAGGGAAACAAGCCAAATCATGCTGGAATGTGCAGTGGTTTCTTGTGCTTTTTTAAAATTTACTCAACTTGACGTTCATTGGAGGCATGACTGGATCTATCACGCGTGTTTGTACGTCTAAAGTGCCATTTAGATTGGGCTAATTGGAAAGTAAACAGAAAAAACTCCAGTGATGCTTCAGAGACTACAAATGTGCACATGTGCACCCAAACTGAATTCTAAGCTATCTGCTTCTACCTTGCAAACTTTGTTTGTAGACCATCCACACGTCGTTTGCTGACGTTTCAGTCAGATATTAAGGATCCTGTTCAGACTTGGTGACTCGTGGTTCTTGCAATGGTAATACACAGGATCTGGATCTGTCAGAAAGGCTGAGGGGTAAGGGTAGCTGATGATTTCAGTGACATTAGTCTCCAGTGAGGATTTCCATTTGGTTGCTTATTTTGCTTGCTGTAGTATATTCTGTACTGGTACACTCCTGCCACTCATCAGGTCTTTTGTTATCTCCTCCACAGCTAACACTACAGAGCACCAAGTCCAGAGTGGCCTTCTTTGAAGAACTCTAAACTACATACCTGTAAAGGTGGGGATGCACAACTGCCTCATGATTCTACATTCCTGGTCAATTAATGATTGGCCACACTACAACGCCTTGTGCTCCACTTCCTGGAAAACCATCATGAAACACTACAGATTAAAAAAAATGACCACTGGCCTGATCTCCACCATCTCCATGGGCCTTCTATGTACGCACAAAAAGGATGCATGTATAATGTTCCTGCACTAAATCTGGGATTCATAAAGAAATGTGTGTGTGTTTACAGTAAGGGTGTGTGGAATACAGCACATTCCTTGACTATTTGAAGTGAACTTGGGTGTGGTTTTTATAAATGTCAAAGAACAAAGGGTAGACAATGCAAAAATAATAAAACATGGTCTTTGACTGCTCCAGTTACACTTTGGCTCTAGTAAATCAGTATTTGTGGAGTGTAGAATGGTTATTGTATCATGTCCAAATGGAGCGACCTACATGATTAGATTGTCTAACAGTTATGTTATTCAAATAGAATGAAACCACTAAGAGGTAAAGTTGAACAAGAGAATACATTGATTATATTACTGATATGCTGCCCTTATGCTGACCCAAATATTTGATATTTAGTAGTTAGTAATATTGTATTGTTCTAGACTGCCTCCTGCTTTACCACTGACCATCTGATTTATTATGCCAAGACATTCCTCCATATATTTCTTCTTAATAATTTCTGGCGGTCTTAGTTTTCTTGGTTCAATGGAATGGTTAAATTAAAAATGTAATGTTCAAGCAGCAAAAATTGGGCATTTCTTTGCCATAATACATTTAAACAGCCATTTATTGCTAATAGTAGGAGTTGATGAGCTGTGGTGGATATTAAGCTCAACAACACAAAAATCCATTTCTCTGGTGTATAACAATTCATTTATTATTGTGTGAGCAGTGTTTTTTAGATCACAGAATTATTGTCCATGTTTGTGCCTTTATGCAACTTTTAATGGTGAACGTAGACAAATTGTTGTACATTAGGCCTTAGGACATGCGTTTACACATCGTATACATTAGGGCTGTTTGTAGTTTGTCAGTCGAATCAGATTTGGCTGTTTAATACGAATATTCGACTATTTGTTGTTTTGTTTTTTTTTCAGTTTGCCATCACACCAAACTCCTACATCAGCAGTTCTTGCAGTGGAAACACGGCTACAACGCTCTCATGTTTTAGCCTACCTCACTTTGTAATGCCTTTCTTCATCATCTGTGATGTGAAAGCATCAGATTTCCACACAGAGAAAGTAAAAGAGTGCATCCTGCTCATATTTCAGTATTGAAATCTGCACCACAGAGTGTCTGCACCACAGAGTGTCTCACCTATCGAGCTGCTGCAGTGCTGTCACCCGAAGAGTCACAATCACAGTGAGTGACAGTAGAGGAAGTTGTACCACCGTATGGTTCAAAAGTGGCTTAGCAGAGAGCAGCTGTTGCCCTGCTGTCCAGCATCATGCTGTTCTCTCTTAACTATCACTCCTCTCCGCTTCCATCACAGTTTAGTTTTGTAGTTTGTGGTCATTTTAAGACTCGGTTTGTAAAATGTACAGCCTGCCATGCTGTCGCTCTGTGTACAATGGCGCAGCTAAAAAAAACTAAACTGCAGGAATTCAACTGACAAAATGTGAGTCAACTCAGGGTCTTCTCGTCTTAAGATTTGAATCGAGTTTCCGGGGGCAGCCCTAGTGTAGGTATCTCTGGCTGCCTCAAGCAGATGAACACTTGATTAAGTTGTCCTTACACAAAGCACCAAGTGCACTAGGCTCTGCTCTCGAAAGTAAAGAGATGCACATTTGTATAAGGTGGGTCTTAGAATTCAAACTGGATGAAGGAACTGTGATTCTCAGATGTGTCACATTGATCATCTATCTCTTCTCTCTTTTTTGTGAAGACAACCACTTTTTCGAAACATGAATTTGCATCTATTTTGAATTAATGTGTCTTTTTGAATTAATGTGCTATTTCCCTCTGAAAGCAATTTATTTTGGGGAATTATAATGTGAAGAAAATGTATTAGTTTTTCTTCCTGTCTGCATTTAACATGGATAGGCAGTAGCAGTAAGCAGTATTTCAAATGAAACTTTGGATGAGGTTACAGGGCCTATATTACTAGATATACATTTTCACAGAAACATTGTAACAGACATGTATGTCTTTCATGTAAAATAAATGAATATCAGGTCTGATTTTCCATCTTTTTTTTCCCATCCAGAAATAACTTTTTTTGTTAGTTATTTTGACAGACTTTGATGAATGTCAGCTTTGATATTGCCAGTGCCAAGAGCCTCTTCCACCCGACCCAAACAGACATCCAATTACACCTTTGAAAAGAATCAAGTGTTACGTAAGCACCCTCCATCTTGTGTCAGATCACATACCCTGTTTGCTTGAGTGACAAGGTCTTTGTGTGTGTTTGTGTGTGTGCCAATGGTTGCGTGGGCGAGCGGAGTGTGTTGCACGCCCCGTGCACTCGTTTTTGTGCCGGCGCGTGTTGTGTGTCACCGCATTAACCCTTTAATGTGAGTCCCTTCTTGTGGTGAGAGACTGACAGCTCTCTGACAGAGTGAGTGGCAGTGAGGTCAGGGGGCTTCTCCACAGCTCTGTCACCTCTGGGTTCTGTTGGAGAAAGGCCACCCTTGGCTTGTCAGTGTTGTGACAGAGAGGCATCTTCAGGAGCCAACTCTCCCTGGGGGCCCGGAGCTCAGAGGGACAGGGGTGGAGGGTCTGTGGGGGCATCAGGCAAACCGACAGATGCATAGATTCACCTTCATTGCTGCCTCCCCCTCAACGCTGTCCTCTGAAACAGGGGAGAGGAAAGAGGGGATGAGATGGAAAGAATCACATCTTTTGTCATTTATCCATTCTCAAGGGATCGCAGTTGACGTCACACCTGCACACACTCGTCTTGCAGCAGATAGGAAAAGGTTCTCAGTTTACTGCAGGGTGAGGGGAGTTGACGGGGATCGCACAGCACCTGCCAGGGGCTTGAATATAGAACAAGCACACAAAAAAGGAAGGAAAAACCCTTGTGTCATAATCCAGGACGAGCCTCCATTCAGAAAGCCAATTCATGCGTCAAAAGAATGATGCAGTAACATTTTATTGGCTTCGTACAGTAGCCAATAAAATCTCCTTATTACCTTTTTATGTTTGACTGCGCAGACGTAAAGAGCTGGTACCTTTAAACTCCAATTACTTAGAGGTAAAGACACCATGGCTTCATTAAAGCTACCTAATAAATGTTAATTGTCTTTCAATTATAAATTGAAATAGAAACATTTTATTACTGTTCTGCAGGTAGATGCATTAATCATTTTAATTTTATCCAGTATAATGTATCAGTGTTTCAATTGATTTTCACAGTAAATGTACAATATCACATCATATGGATATATCATGTTATAAAATGACATATCTGTGGAAAACATATATACATATACACAGTTTCTGGAGCATGAAATGCCAGAAAATCAGACTACTGAGAGTCCAGGGGTGGCTATGTTGAAGCCAATCACTAATAAGCCAGGAGTAGTAAATGAGAGGCTAGTCCCTGAACTGAACTCGTATGCCCAATTTATCAGCCCACTGGACTGGTCACTTACTTGGCTTGTCACTGGCATTTGTTGGCTGACTTGCTTGGTAACACACAATATTATTCTATGTAAAGAACCTTTATTTATGTGGAGTAGCCCTGAGTGTGATATTACAGTGAAAGCTCTGTTGTGTATTCTGAAGATGTGCAATGGGTTTTAGTCAAGTATGCCATATGATTTATCTAATGTGGAACTTACAATGTAGGCTACAAGGTATAGCATAAAATTACCTTTAGCTGCGATTCACCTTTATGGTTACCAACATAGATCCCATATAGGTAACATGTCTACTCTGCTTCCTTGACAATTTGGTTTTTAATAAAATATTGATAATGAGGCAGCCTATCCTAACTGTTAAAGCACAGGTCATGTTAGCCATTGATCATGACTGACACAAATGTTATGAAGTTAGTCACATTAACACCCCTCTACATCTCTCTACTTGCAATTATTATTATTAATTATTATAATATTGCAAGAATTAATTATATATTATATTAATATTCTCTATAATAATAGAACGCTGGCTTCAAAACACCAACCACAGCAGTAAAACGATACAAAGGTCAGTCACAGTCAATCCTTTAAACATTTTATTTAATGGAATTGTATTGTATTACTCCAAGCTGAAATTTTCCTTTTGGATGCAGGTTTACTGTTATTTTCAGTCTGAGCAAATCCCAGTGCGGTACTGCAGTCTAATTCTAATGCTACAAACAAACACTGCTAAGGCCTATAACACTGGCTTCCATTGTTACCACTACTAATTTTAAGCTCTGCCCACAAACGACCACTTGACGATAGTAGTAATTGATGTAATTTAAGGTCAAGATCAACTTCGCTACAAACTCTGAGCAACCAAGTTCCACTTATCGCACTAACTTTCAAACCGCAGCGGTCCATCTCTGACACCACCTTGCATTTCCTTTCACATGCCTCATCTGCTGTGTCCTGCCATGACATTATGAGCTCCACAGACTAAACCATCCATTGTGTGTTTTATCTGCACCAGGTATGGTGGAGCTTGCTATTTCCTGTGGGCTTATCAACCGCTTCCTCAAATCTACTCCCATGTGCTAATCTCTTCCCACCCATACCTGTCCTAAAATATGCCAGCTCAGAAATCCTTTAGTCCTTTTCTTTTTAACACTCGGTCAAATGCAACAATATATTCACATCAGATGTCAAATGAATTTCTATCCATTTGCTCTCATTTCTACTGTTAGATAATGTGTGTTACCTGGCTTATCGTGCTCGGACAAACTGTAGGACTGAACATAAAGGAAAGAAAGACACATCACAAATTTAATCCAGTTTGCTCCTTACCACGAAATCTCCCTGCAGCACAGTTTCTTTCTCGCTTCACCTTTAAAATGTACTGACTGCTTTGCCAGAGGAACTATTGTAACCCACCTTGCTGCCTCCTCCTGCCGAAGTATTTCCTCCATGACCAGCCTGCTTTTCCCTGAGGTGGTGGGCTCCATAAAGGTTGCCCTTTGTGTGACCCTGTTCTTCACATCTCTCTTGTTGCATCTCCACTACAACATCCCTTTACCTGAGTGCCCCCCTTCACCAGCTGAGCTACTTTGATTTGGATAAAGGCCATGGACTCCTGCTACGTCTTTATACACTTTGAGGCTTATCTGTAACCTCACCTGCATGTATTTAAATACCTCTGCTTTGATAGATATGTAGATAGTCTCCAGAATCCTCTGCAACTTCCATTTGATGTTATTTGACATTGTCAAGAGCTACACTGGCATTATAAATCAAAGTATGAGCCTCAGCAACTTCAAATATTGGCTCATAATTCTGACCTTTCTGCGTCCTCTGGGCCTCAAAATGATCATTGGTCCTTTGTCAAACACTCAAAATGACCTATGTTCGCATTTTCTTGTCAAGCAATCTCTTTTGTAAATAATGACTGTCCTCTTTAAGTAGCTAAATCAGAAGTTGCAGTTAGTATTACATCAAAGCTGTACGAGCATGCATTGGTTGGTTTTAGCCATGTAGACAATCCCTCCCTAACCTTAATCCAGTGGTTTTAGTTGTGTGAGGTTAAGGTTATCTTAAGGGTGCTCCTATCAGGGTTTTTGAGGCCAATCCCCAGTCAATGCTGATACTGCTGGGTCCATTTAAAGCCTTATGTTTATAGTGTCCACACACACACCGGCTGAACAGATTTCTATCCACAGAGGCCTGAAGCAGCGATCTGGCACTGGATGTGTGAAGAGAGAAATTCTGCAAGGCCGATGAACTGATGAGAGGCAGGTGAGCACACTGGGAGAGGTGATGAGCCCATTGCAGACAGGTGTGCAGGAGGAGCAGAGCCTGGAGGAAGGAGGGAAGCCACGCCCACAGCAGAGACAGAGAGGGGAACAGGTACACACAGGGTGCTTTTCATAATGCCAACGTGTCTCCTCGTTTCCCCTCACTCGCTTCCTTTGCTCGCTCTCAGCTCCTCCAGAAGCCTCCTCTCTCTTTGCTCTTTATCTCCTGAACCAACTTTTTCTGCAATGCAATACAACATAAAAGCCGGTAAGGCACTGCATTTTAAACCCAGACTGTTTTCGGTCTGAAAATGGTTAGTCTTCACCAGCTTCAAAGATGCTTTTGTTTGGTCTGTGTGTCTTTGATAGCCACAGCCCAAGAAGATTCTATGATTTTCAGCCCAAACATCAAGGCATCTATGTTAAAACTGGGCTTAATTTAGACTTTAGACTTCCAGGTTATATAAACAATGAAATGTCTCACTGTTGACAAGACTACATTTCAGTGTGAAGCAGCTTTTCACTCATTATAATAGAGTAATTAAAAAAGCTGTTAAATCAATTGCGATATGTAATCCAGACAAATAAAAAATGGATGAAAAGTACAGCCCCCTTTGTTGCACAATTGTAGTGTATATGAACCATTCATTTTACCTCCCCTCACTATCTTGCCATCACATTTTCGGTTGGAACTAATCATGGATGTATGCGCATGTTGCATGCATGAATGTGACTGTTTAGCAGGCTGATATTGAAGCAAAATATTATAGGAAATGCATTTCAGCTTGGTATTTTGTATTTGAAATTTTATAGTATTTTGGTAGAATTATGTTTTTAATTGAATGTAGTCATTATAAAAAATGATGCTTTGAGTCATAGATATATATTTCAGAGTTTTCCTCTGCCACTAGAGGCAGCTTGTGTAATCTAGTAAACTCTGCTTCTGAGTCATCTCTGAATACCTAGAAAATACTGAATGCCCAGAACTCTGCAAAATCGAAATCCTTCCATGATAGTTGATGTGTTACTCAGCCAAAGGCATTAGTAAGGTCTAAAAATACCATATGGAGATCTGCTCTCCAGCTTTGCTGACTGAACTTGGTGCCAAGTCATGTTTGTGTGTTCCAAGCATCTGAACACGCCTGATATTCCAAGTTTTTGCACTAGTGTGTCAGTTAACTCACTTGGAGTAATTGGACTTTCTCCACCACAGTGAAGAATGAAGTATAAGGATAAGTATAACTTGAGTAGCATGTACAGATTTTCATTAATGGAATCCTCTGTAGCTCTATGCCCTCACGTAGCAGTAAAGTTTTCCAGGAT